TCTTTAAATTCTGAACTAGTAAAGGCTGGGCCATTGTCTGAAACGAGCATTTCAGGTATCCCAAAAGTAGAGAAAACGGTTCGCAACTTGTTGATTGTAGTCAGTGAAAAACAAGAATTTCCTGTCGGAATCGCATCAATCCATTTAGTGTGGACGTCAACTACCACCAAAACCATATGGCCTTGGAATGGTCCAAAATAATCGACGTGTACCCTCTTCCACGGCGAGTCGGGCCAGGCTCAAGGCTTCAGAGGAACCTTCGGTAAGGTCTTCTGTGTTATTTGGCACACGTGACATGCTTTCTCCACGTTTTCTATATCTGCGTCAATTTTGGGCCACCAAACATAGCTGCGGGCGAGAGCTTTCATTCTAACTGTACCAGAATGGGCATTATGCAGGTCTCTGAGGATGGCCTGTCGGCCTTGTGGTGGCACAACTACATGATTACCCCATAGTATGCATCCGTCTGGTAGACTTAACTCGTTCTGACGGCTGAAGAATGGTTAAAAATCAGAGGAGGTAGAGGACGGCCAGCCAGATTGTAAGGCTCTTTTTACCCGACTTGGGAGAGGGTCTCTCCATCAGCTTGTAGTCGCCACAGATACGGACAGATGCAGCGTATCCTGCCCGGGCCGTCAGGACATCATGCCACAAACGCGTGACAAGCGAACGATCAAGGTCATGACCCCTGTTCACACCTTCTGTGTGCTGATTGGCCACCCATCAGCCTATGACAGTCCCCCTTGCCATATACCCGGCCGTTTCCCCAAGCCTCCTCTTTTGTGCTGTCTCTCGTACTCAGTAGACATCCTATTTCCAATTACCCTTCTGCTTTGCATACATAACATTGGTGACACAGCCTAACGAACATGTCTTCATTGCTGCCTACACCGTTACCTTTCTGGCCAAAGAACACCCAGAAGCCCTCAAGTGACTCGTGGTTGCAATGGAGGAAGACATTTGAGGATTATATTGAACTACTCCCGATTTTGTCGTCCATGATTGTACTAGACGTCCCATCTAATTTGAAACTCCTCCGGACGAATCTCGGAGAGTTGGGACAACGATATTTCGATGCCCTCAATCTACAAAAGGCTATAGATCTCCAAACAGCCTTCACAAAACTCGAGTCAGCGTGGGTAGGAAAAGACAACGTCTTTCTCAGTCGCTATCGGTTTTGTCAAATGCGTCAAGAATCCAGTCAATGTGTCGGTGATTTTATTACTAATCTGACTCTGGCCATCCAGGACTGTGGGTATAAAGAGATCAAGGCAGACAACTTCGAGCACGCAATGCTCGTTCAGCAGTTGATCGTCGGTCTGCGCGACGAAAAAGCTCGGGAAAATCTCCTATCAGAGAAGAAGTATTTGTCGTGCGAGAAAGCCTGTGAGATCGCCAGTCATTAGGATACGCTGCACAAACGATCCGCGTCTCCCTTCGTCTGCTGTACCAGATATCGTAAGCGGAAGAAAGCAGTTTTGCTGACGCCGGTCCGGCAATTGATGTGGGCCTCGTGCAGTCGGTTCTTCTCGGCAAGTAGGATGCTGACATCTGAGTCGTCTTCATCAACCTAGCCCGGTTCATACTCCATTTCGGTGACGTTCTCTCACTCATAGTGCTCCCTGTTCCATGTCTGTACTTGACAATTTCCGTACGGATCCATTCCTGCTCATGTTTCGTTGATCGTATTCTCTTAAATATCCCTAATCTACTATCTACGTTGCCTCAACTTTTTGGCCAATACCAGTGCCACCCATCCCTCTCAGCCTCAACGCGTCAGTCGCCTAATTTAATAATACGACCTCTGACCTGTGTTACATAATCACGACCATCGAGTAATACCAACCGCCTGTTGCAGTAAACGTTTCTAGCCGTGTCTCGGTTGTGCCAACTACGCCTGCCATCGAGGACGTCGTGAAAATTTTGGACGCCCTCATTCCTTGAGTTTCCCATTTTTGCGCTATCCGTGTCTTTCTCCATCGAAGTCCTTCTATAACTCGCCGTCCGAGGCCTCTCACTGTGGCTAAAGCCCCGACCACACCTCACGTTTCTGCTGACACCACCCACCTATGGATCCCATGCACATCACTGCCAGTACCCGAGTCGTTACAAGAAATCTTTAGCGGAAAACTCGTTTGCTTGTCAGCAACGACGACAAACTTGGCTGGTCCAACCTCCCCTAGTCGTCTGCTTCACATCTGCGATGGAAGTTTCTTACACAATTCCATTGTGGACACTGATGTTCACGTCGTTCTCATTCCACTATCTTAAACTGGCCATAAGTCATCCAGCTCTTCATTTTCGCTTCAAGCAGCTAATAGTACCCCATTTAAGACTTTTGGTCATCGACCCCCCAACTCTAGACCTTGGTTTACGGCATTCCTTATGTTGAATATTTCCTATGGCTGACATTCATACTACCATTCCCGTTGCCGATTTTATATCCTCTTTAAGTCTCCTCGTTACCACTGACCTGTTGAAATCCTTTTATTCTAAATATTTACCTTGCACAATTCAATTCCTCTGGTCCATGCATTTATACATTCCCTTTGTCCACTTCCTGTTATCTTTATTTCCGGAATTTCCATCTATCCCTCGGTCTTCACAGTTTGACAAGCTTACTTAACAATCGTCATGCATTATATTTCAACTACTTTTAGCCGTCCTTGTCGTTTAGCCGTGGGCAGGTAGATGCCGTGCAAGGCGAATTCAGTCTTACGATGGAGCTGGGCACGATATGGTCATCCACTTGTCCAACAGTTGCTCTTCTGCATATGACACGCAAAAAGTCTCATTCAGTGACGTCCAGGTGGTGATTGCCAACGACTGAACAACTGCGCTGCATTCTACAGACATCCGCGTTCTAACCTCTAAGATTTTTCCTGAAACAGTCTTTTCCAACATTGATCTAGACAAAGCCTTCCATCAAATCCCCGTTGTTCTAGAAGACGTCCCCAAGACGGAGATTACGATTCTATTTGGCCTTTTCGAGTACGTCAGAATACCTTTGGCTTCCACAACTTCATCCAAGATTTCCGACGTTTCATTAACGAGAGCCTACGCGACTTACCCCTCGTTTTTATCTGTGTCGATGAAATCCCGATTGCATATTTTAATGAGCAAGAATACCTACAACACCTATGCTCAATTTTTAGCGTTTGGGTCAATTTTGCGCTTGTAGCAACACCTCCAAATGCGTTGTTGAGGCTCCCTCGTTCCTGTCCACTGGACACCGCATAGATGCTATCGGTTGTCCTCCCATAGACGTTGGAGGTCCAGGTATTTGTGCGTTTCCTATTCCTTCTTCTTCCCGACAACTGCAGCATTGTATAGGCTTTGCCATTTTTTATCGACATTTCATCCGCGCTTCTCTCAACTTATGTTATCACTCGCTAATCTTCATGCGGCAACGGCCGTTGGTTTGCCGGACGTGCGGTGCCTCGACAAACAAGAAGTCCCAAACGACAAGTCAGGAACGGCAAATTTGGTTGGGCAAGCATTACTGAGCTGAAAGAACGTACAGTGACTTAAGCAAATGGCTATCTCAAGCATTCTCACCAGGCAAGTGTCAGCCGAAGTGCATCTACTCGGGATTTTGTTCGGCGGAGGCCAATCAATGAAGAGGGAAATACGGACTTGCGTCACGGCGTTGGCGGAGGTAGTCACTCGCACGTAGTCGCCCTTCATTGAAGCCTCGCCAAGAGAGTGTAGTCTTACTTCATCCAGTGACAACGCCTAAATGCCACATTCTAAAATCGACCTGACAAATGTTCCAAATAGTCGACCAAAAAGCTCTGTGACAACGGCAAGGAAGGATCTCTTGATTGCTGCCAAGATACCTGTTAGGCCACCCCAGCCAGTGATCTTTCAACGCATACCTATGACTGAATTTACCACCACGAAGGATTTAGCTTTAGGTTACACAAATAATCTTGACCTCTCGCCACACGCTGACAGAATTATGGCCAAAGCTGTCCAGATTTGTGGCTTTATTTCTTACAATCTCTATCTTCTCGAAATTAAATGAATACTCTATCGAGTGTTTGCACTTCCCATTCACGAATATTGTTGCCCATTGCTTGGTTTGATGAACGAGGATAGTCGTTCAAAAGTAGTAAATGTCCAAAGACGTTTTACTAGTAAACTTTTAGGCATGGAACATCCAAATATCTCCTACTCAGATAGATGCCAACTAATTGACCTTAAATTTGTATGGGTTCGAAGACTAGAAGCAGGCTTCTGTCTCCTCTTTCACATTAATAATAGCTCAGATCTTCCTCAAATTTCAGCACTCACCCCTATTAGTCGCCCATACAATCTTCGAAATTCTTCCTGGATTATATCTCCTCCCGCTTCCTCCACGTCTAACCGCTCTCTTTTTCCGCTTCCACGTATACATTCCTCTGGAATAAGCTCTCAGTAAATATAAGATCTTCAGATAATCTACACACTCTTAAGAGAAGACTGCGTTCTTATCGGAGTACTGACTCGATTAAACTTTTATTTTCCTCATCCTTCCCGGACAACTTTCCCTATGACACTGAGAAAGGGCCACCGGGAATTTAGGACGTCGCCATTACATTGCCGTATCCGCTCACACTTCCTTCTTTTGTGTGGCAGCGCTTCCCAAGATCCCTCATCAGAAATGTTAGTTTTTCCGATTTTTTAGTTCATGCATCATGCCCCTCACAGAATGCGCTCAGTCGACGCTCTTGGCGGAACCCTCTGTATTCGTCATCTACAAGTTGTCTGGTCGCATCGCCTTTGCCTCCTCCTCGGCTGGACCCGAAGCTGGCAGTAACCGATCGCATCTGGACTTCTATCGCCTTGAGACTGGTTTTCTATTCGCCACTTTCATATAAATGGCCTCATCCGGCATATGAATTCTGTCTTGATGATGTCCGCTTCAAACCTTTTACTCACTACCACATGCAGGCCAGTCCTGCCTGACCCGCCTACCTACCCCGTCGTTAAATCCGTTATACACTGCCCCATGCAGGCCGGTCCTGCCCGTTTTTTATCCCTTCATGAGCTGCAGTCTTTTATACGTTAGGAGGTTATTTCACTGCTCGCTCTTTATCCTTCGTGAGAGACTATTTATTCAATAACCATGAATTAAGTATTGCATAGATTCTGTATACCTGTTCTAAAATTCATGTTTACGGTTATTCTTATTTACGGGTCTTGAATAAAAATTTTCATTAAACTTATTATTATACCCACCACCTTCTTTGCTATTTTACGCAATGGGACGGGGTTTGAGAGTGGTCGTCATCCACACACTTAAGTCCTTTACGTCGTTCCCTGATAAAATACTGATATCCAGATCTCAATTTTTTCCTGTAACTGGACCTTACTCGAATAAATTGGCATTTGTTGAAATCGAGTTAGCGAAGGCATTCATCACAGCACTATTGCAGTTGATCTAAGTTGTTTAGCCAGTTTATAGCGTTCTTTGGTTTTCCAATCGAACTTCGCATCTTCATATCACGAGCGAACATTACCTTTTCGCAGGTCAAACAGGGTAAGCAATCATTCACACATATCAAGAACAGAATGGGGCCCAGAACGTTTCCCTGCGGAACCCCACTGTGGACGGTCTCCCACTCTGATCTGGCGTCACCAAAGCAAACCCGCTGGCATCAGCCTGTGAGGTAGTCGGCCAATCATTTGAGTGGGTTATCAGCCACGTCCATTTGGCGCAGTTTAGAAATGAGCCGTCTGCGTGGCACCTTGTTGAAGGCTTCGTTGAAGTCAATAGAGGCTTATCTACTGACAAACCCATCTATAAGGAATTCGTCCAGCTTTTCATTGATGCAAACGGGTAAGTGAGACAGGATCGACTGCCCCCAAATCCATGTTGACGCTCACTAAGCAAGTCGTTCTTCTCAATGTGTCTCAGCAGTTCCTTTTTATTATTTTCTCCATTGACTTGCAATAAATGCTTGTAAGACTCATTGGCCTGAAGCTATTTGGCGAGGTTCTCTCTCCCTCTTTATACATGGTGTTTATGTCGGCAGGCCTTCATTCAGTAGGCAGAGCCCCCACCTCCACTGAGCTTTGCAAGACTTTGGAGAGCAGGTAGACTAGTTGGTCTTCGAGTTCGTTCAGGACTTTTGCAAATATGCCGTCCGGACCTGGCGATGTGTATGTGGCGATTTAATGGGATGTAGCAATCCCAGAGTTCCACTCACTGCGTCCGTTGTTAAAGCCACCGTGTTGATTGTATTTCTAGGTGGAACGATTTTTCGGTGTATTTTTTCGTCAAGTGGTGGCTTCTCACTAAACACTGTCATGATGAAGTCGGACAGGTGATTCTCGTCATCTGAAGCATCAGTTAACTTATTTCTCTGAGAGTTCTTTAGACAGCGGTTCTTTCATCTTGAAATAATCCTCTTTCCATACATTACTCTCCTGTTATGTTCGAATTGCGGGTACAGAGAAATGACTGCACTCCCAAACAAGAACGCAATGATTACCTTGGCCCCGGGACGTGTTAGAAGTCAATTCAAGCACACAATTGTCATCCGTGGTAACGATGAGACCTAAATAGCTTAAATGCCGTCCACTTCGGAATCAGGTGTCCATTGCAGCATGTTGAGTAAGAAATTTGTCAGTGACCAAATGAAGTCGATTCTGTTTGAATGAGCTCTCCGGTCGCATGCAGTGCATCGATTCCCAATCGATGTTTGGGAAGTTAAAATCTCCAATAATTATTACGCTTTTTCCACGACTGATCTGCTTTAACTCTGTGATGATTGCATCGTTCGTATCCTTCCGCTGTGCTAGGGTCTGTAAACAAGGCAAATACGGATGTCCGGTTGGTTAGGTACTTTAATCTTTAACTAATGATTTCGCAACCGGCATTCCCTTTTGACGACTACCCACCCGTGACGTAGCTACTGCCATCCCATACGAACATCGCGATTCCCCCACACCTGCGTCCACTCTGATCCATAGAAATAAGCTGAAATCCGTTGAAGTTGACTCCTGAGTCTGCTATCTGCTCACTTAACAATGTTTCAGTTAGGGCAATTACGTCAGATTGTAAGTAGGCCACGGTCAGCTTAATGCCATTCACATTATTGAAAAGACTCGGTACGTTTGCAAACATCATTATCATGTTTGTCGCTCTCTCGGGCACGAGAAATTGATTGTTGGTTCTTGAACGCGACAATTATTGGTGCGCGTTTCGCACGACATATCCGGTTCACTGTCTGTCTTCGAATTTACAAGTGTTTGATGGACCTGATGACTGACATTATAACCGTCAATTTCACCGGAGGATTCCACAGAAACTTGCGTTTCGTTTTTACGATTTCGTTGCCTAAAACCTTCATCTTTTTCCTCTCTCTCTTTGATGCCTTTTTAAGCCTGCTTTCAGTGTTCTCATTTACATTCGAAGACAGGCAGACGGCTCAAATCGCCTTTATTGACCTTTAAAAGGCGTCAGACGCTGCGCCACACCAGAGACTTTTTACAAGTTGGAACGAATACGGATCGGAGGTACCTTCCTCATACTGACCGAAGACATCCTTGTGGGTCGTCAAAAGGTTGTTTGCTTCGGTCAAGAGAAGTCGGGTTCCGCTGTGACTGACAAGCTTTCAGTACTGAAGCCCACTTTGTTCTTAATATCGCGGACGATTGTGCGAGAGTTTTGCCATACGAAGCAGTAATGTTTGCTGGCGATCTAAAAATATGGAGTGTAATCCGTGATCCTGCCGATGAAGACTGGATACAGATTAACCCAAATATTCTAAGGTGGTTAAATCCTTAGTTAAGGGGGCTTAACGTCGGCAAGTGTTCTATACCTCGCCTAGGCAAACAAACCAGATCAGCACAAGAAACCACCTTTATGAAAGTGCCGCTTTACGAGGCGTGGAAGCTCAAGCAGTCTTCGGCATGCTGACGACGAACTCCTTAAAACCATCCACTCATTGTTCAAGAGGGACAAAAAGGGCAGTGTCCCTGTTGCACCCCACCAAGCAAACATTTGTAGGTTTTGACAAAGAGTCCCGGATCGGACTCAATCCCTGCTGGGGCCTACACGCACGGAGGTCCACAACTCATGGATCACCTGACTGCGCTCTTCCAAGAGATGTGGCGTCAAGGTGAAGTCCCGCAAGATTTAAAAGACGCAACCATCGTGCATCTCTACAAGCGCAAAGGGAATCGTTATGTCTGCGACAATCACCGCCGCATCTCCCTGCTGAACATCGCCGGGAAGATCTTCGCCCGCATCCTTCTCAACCGCCTCAAGAACCATCTGGAACAGGGCCTTCTGCCGGAAAGCCAATGCGGCTTCCTTCGTCATCGTGGGACCACGGATATGATCTTCGCCGCCCGTCAATTTCAGGATAAGTGCCAGGAGATGCGGACCCACCTGTACTCTACCTTCGTGGACCTGACGAAAGCCTTCAACGCGGTGAATCGTGAAGGACTGTGGAAGATCATGCAGAAATTCGGCTGTCCAGAGCGATTCACTCAGATGGTGCGTCAGCTGCATGACGGTATGATGGCGCGAGTCACGGACAACGGAGCTGTCTCAGAGGCATTCGCAGTGACCAACGGAGTGAAGCAGGGCTGTGTGCTGGCGCCTACCCTCTTCAGTCTCATGTTCTCTGCCATGCTGATGGACGCCTACCGCGACGAATGCCCTGGAATCCGCATCGCCTATAGAACGGACGGTCACCTCCTGAATCAACGACGGATGCACTTCCAATCGCGCGTATCCGCAACCACCGTTCACGAACTCCTCTTCGCCGACGACTGTGCCCTGAACACCACCTCGGAAGAGGAGATGCAACGGAGCATGGACCTGTTCTCCGCCGCCTGCGAGAACTTCGGTCTGGTCATTAACACGCAGAAGACGTTGGTGATGCACCAACCGCCACCCCACTCAGTCACAGCCCCCAACGCGCCGCCGCAAATCAGCGTGAACGGAACCCAACTGCAAGTGGTGGAGAACTTCCCGTACCTGGGCAGTACTCTCTCCCGCAACACCAAGATCGACGACGAAGTCGCCAACAGGATCTCGAAAGCAAGTCAAACCTTCGGTCGCCTTTAAAGCACAGTTTGGAATCGCCACGGTCTTCAGCTGAGCACCAAGCTGAAGATGTATAAGGCCGTCATCCTGCCGACACTACTGTATGGAGCGGAGACTTGGACGTTGTACGCAAAGCAGGCATGCCGTCTGAACCACATCCACCTCAGTTGTCTTCGTCGCATCCTGAGGCTAAAGTGGCAGGATCGAATCCCCGACACTGATGTGCTGGAACGGACGGGAATCTTCAGCATCTGCGCCATACTGAGAGAAATGCAGCTGCGCTGGAGCGGCCACCTGGTGCGCATGGATGACGAGCGACTACCCAAACGACTCTTCTACGGAGAAGCCGCGACGGGTTCTCGCCGTCAAGGAGGCCAGATTCGCCGTTACAAGGATACCCTGAAGTCCTCCCTGAAACGCCTGCAAATCAACCCTATCGACTGGGAGGAGCTCGCACTCGATCGACCGACTTGGAGGAGGACAGTGAAGACAGGCGCTGCGATCTACGAAGCCAACCGCATCGCTGCCGCCAAAGCGAAACGCGAAGCCCGCAAATCACAACTTCGCCCAGTACGCAACCCCGCCGCACAACCGCTTCCAACGTGTCCTCGATGTCAACGGAAATTCCGGGCTCAAATCGGACTTGTTGGACATCTTCGGATTAACTGCGCCTCTCGAACGGCACCAACCATCGTCCCCCCGCCTGCCTCTTCCTCCTCCTCTCCGCCGCCAACTAACTCTGACAATTCTTCTGACCCACCACTTCCATCCTCCTCCTCCTTCTTCTCCTACTCCTCCTCCACTGCTCCAGCGGCGGCCGCTCAGGCGACTGTCATGCGCGCAACAACCGACACCACCACCACCACCTCCCCCGACTCCAGCGATGAGGATCAGGACTACGCCTGCCCTCACTGCGACCGCACCTTCACCTCACACGTCGACCTGGTCGGTCACTTGCGAATCCATCGCCCAGAGACTGGCGAACCAGTGCCTGGAGCACCAACCTACACCCACCGCACTCGCCTTCACTGCCACACTGCCCTCGCACCTTCAGGCATCGCATGGGCCTATTCGGCCACATGCGCATCCACGACGACCTGCGGTAGACAACCGCCGGTCACACCGCACATTCACTCACTCCCTACCTCCCAACACCATCACCACCATCACCCCACCAGACATCAACACTCACACACCTCACGCACCCAACTGCCACCTCCCACGCAAGTGGGAAGTGTGCATCTCGACTCGGTCCCCATGCGGCTTCGGCTGCATGGGTGACTTGAGTCCGAGACTATCCTGACAATTCAAGCGTCGCGGATAGGAAGGTTGCTGATTGAGGCCCGCTCTCGGTTCACGCAGTTCGTCGCGTTGTGTGTGTTGTGTGGAGTGGCGGACTGGTGGGCTGGAAGACGGACTGAAACAGCACCTTCCACGGCCCTCTTACGCATGTGAGAGACACGCCGTTCAACCCCCGTTGTGTGAAATCCTGGTGTTGTGTGTATGGGGGGCCATGTCGTGCTTTGGCGCGCGCAGGCATGGTCAGTCGACCATGTCAGCCACCGCGCCCATTCCCCACTCCAGTCTGCTGACCGGCTCGGACAGCGGCTGGGGTGTGGGAGTGGGAAGGGAGAGTGAGGTCGACGACTCAGCGCACTTTCTCCTCACTATAAACAATCTGACGCGCTTGAAGCTATCACGGTGCGCTAAAAGCCGTGGCTTGGAAGGCTGCCAACTGACGGGGTATCTTGGACCCCCTCCTTGATGGGAGGCGGTCTGAGAGTCAGGCTGCAATGGCTCCTTTTTAATGTGGCCTTTATGGCACTCCCACCACAGTGTGGGATCCGAGCCAGGCGTTGGCGGCACGCCCAGGTGCGGCTTCGGCCGTGCCGGCCTCCAAATCTCTGTTGTTGGTTGAAATCCTGGTCATTTGTTGTGTGGACCAGGGGGTGTGGTGGAGCACCAAGGTGAGGATCCGTCCAAGCCATCCACCTGCGGCCTCCCTCGTCTCCGGTCTTCTTGACTCTGTCTTGACACCGGGCTCATGCGGGGGAGGAGAGAGTCTAGGTAGATGCAGCGCAAGTCTACTGGCACTATAAACCTCTGCGCAAGTCACCGTCCCTGCTCCCATAATGCTGTGGGGCATACGGTGGACATCATCGAAATCGATGGTCGAACTGTCATTCTTTACAATCATGGATGCCGTGGGAAGTCCAAGTTCAAAACAGTCCCGAAAGTGTTCAGAGAAAAGCCGCGAAACTGGTTAGTGTTCGTGGTTCCTTCCCCAATTCAAACAGCCTAGAAAATCGGAGCCTCTAACCCTTGAGTTATAAGCAACTACGCACAGATCTCTTGTAAGCATTCTGCATTGCAAAGGGATTAGATTGCAGCCGAGATTTTGAGGGCTCTCTTAAATATGCGACCACGATTAACCTCAGAGTTCACCCATTTAAACTGACTATTCGGCAGGCAAGACTGGATGCGCGAACGTTCCCCTTCTTTGCCAGAGTAGTCAAATAATGGAATGTCCTCTCTACAGATATTGTGATATCACCATCGATAAAAAGCTTTTAAAGGAACCGTGATATATTCATGTGCCAAGGTGGAAAAGAGCGGTGAGAGACCGAGCTCAATCCTGTAGACTCGCACTCAATTCGCCATGTTATTGTGGACCAATATGAACTGTTTCAGCCCACATGATTTCTCTTTACACCGCACCCAATTGAACGTTACGAATGGGGTACCCCAAGGCTCGTCCCTACTTTCCCAAATAAAATGAGCCGATTTGAATGCAAATGAGATGCGATTCGCCGTGGACATTCCGCATTATCCGCAGACATGATTACATGGACAAATCTGAAGATTTCATTAAGTTTACGAACATGAGCCACCTGTGCGCTCATGTGCACAAGGTCAACTGCGAATGTACTCAGCTAGATCAATGGAAGGTTTTCTTCATTCAGGGGTATTTCGGCCGTGGAACTAACCGCCGTGTGAAGCTGCGAATTCCGGCACCATGGTTGTGCTCGAAAGACCATTGGATTGTTTGATTTTTGACAACCGACGGCTCTGTCTGCAAGACTTTATGTCCAGCAACAAAGACAAGGCCGACTGGATGACCATTTCTCGCTCTTTGGCCGTCGTCAGCCAGCAATACCCGACTGCTATATCGTCCTAAGCATCAGGCATTGACTATGCATTTACTGGTCACCGCTCTAATAGATTGGCTCGCTTTCGGCTGCAGATTTTCAAGGGACTGTAAAAAACAAATAGTGATTACCTATTCGAGGCATAGGAGGAAAAAGACGACACTGTGTGAAAGCCGAACAAAGAACATCTTCCAATCAAACGAGTAAGATCTGCATCCCAAACTGGAAGTATCTATTTTCTTTTGGGTCTAACAAAGGTGCAAGGAATTTATCTCTGATTGCACACCTGCTTTATGAAACCTAGGAGGAGTGAGGTATGTCATGTCCCGGCTGCGGTCGAGGGCATCTGTGGCATAAGCACGATTCAACCAAATTGCCAGTAATGTGTGTCTAACGTCCTAATATTCGCGTCAGCTTCTCAAAGACTGCTAGCCGCAACCGGGCATAACCGTTCCATTTTTTGCGGCTCCAAACTAATGTGCTCACGGACTCAGTTCCGTTGTTCAAAGGTAAAATTGACGTCTCCCTGTGAGTACCTTTTTGCAACGTTAAAATGGATACGGTGTGCTGGGAAATCCCGTTTGTGTTAACAGTTTAAATGGGACCACAATAATTTGGAAACATAAACATAAGTCTTAAGAGATGACTCCAAGCTTACACCGGTCAGACTCACTTTAAAAGTTCTCTTTAAAGCATTCCGTTGAAGGTGGCATCACAGCATCTGCCGGGAGGCCATTCCATGTGAGCGAAAATGCAGCTCCGAGAACAACACGGGAACACTTGAACAAGAGTTTTTTTCGCTTGACGTCGCGGATTAATGCTCGAGTCCGTCAACGAAGACACAATCAGATATGGGTACTTCATACATAACAGTTTGCAGTAGTTAAGGAATAGAGTCGCTTTGCTGTCGCATACTTAGCAGAAGTAGCAGGGAAGTTAATGGCGATCTGATAAAAAGTGCTGATAGGCGCTCTTCTAGCAAACTTTGCTCTTTCGTATATGTATATGTATATATTGAAGGATTACAGGCAGAGCCCTTGATGACCCTATTTATGTACAGTGCTTTCGCAGATTCATAATCAAAAATAAAATAAAATTGCAGGAATTTAAAATGTGATTGGGTCACAGTTCAATCGTAATCATAAAGTAGTGCATAGGGTCACTGTAAATTAGTGCGGAAGATTGTATATGACAGATTTTGCAAAACTGGCTGTGCATAGTCATGCTGTACAAGCCGATTTCTGTCGAAAACTAGAGGAGCAAGTTTTCTTTTAAACACACAAACTGTGTCAGCCGTCACCATCTCGCTTGGAAGCGAGTTCCACAGCCTGACAACCCGCTGGCTGAATGAAAATTTTCGTCGGTCTAAACGCGTGCGCTCATTCCCGACTTTGTATGCATGGCCGAGTAGTTGCTTTGTACGGACGAACTCAAAGAAGTCCTCTGTTCTTAATGAGCAACCCTGGTCGCGAACAATCTGGAACGTCCAGAGTAGACTGCAGTTTATTTGTCTATAAGAGAGAGGGAATAGGCCAAACAAATTCAGCCTCTCCTGATAAGACAAATGCCTTAGACCGTCGACCATCTTTGTCGCTCTGCGTTGCACCTGTTCGAGTAAGTTGATATCCTTCCTCATCCATGGTGAAGCTGCTGGCATTCCATACTCTAGATGAGGTCTTACAAAGACACCAAAGAGTCTTTCGAACAGTTCGGGAGGAAATATTTTAAATGCACGTCTGATCCAGTGTAGAGTACTAGTTGCCTTCTGGACCATCTTTCTGCAGTGTTCTGATGGAGATAGATTTGTGGTTGTCCATACACCCAGATCTCTGTGTCTTTCCACAGTTTCTAACCTCGTCCCGTCAATATAGTACTGGTGTTTGGGAGAGGCATTGCGGCCGGTGTTCAGGTGCAAAACCACGCATTTGGACACGTTAAACTTCAAACGCTATCCGTTCGACCAAGCAAACAGTTTGTTGATGTTCGACTGCAACTTCTCTGCGTCATCATCACACTTGACTTCATTCCATATTTTTATGTCATCCGCGAACATGACAGCCTTGCAATTCACTTCGCTGATGCAGTCATTAACATAAATCAGGAAGAGTACTGGGCCTAAGACAGAACCCTGTGGGACACCACTTTCCACCTTTACCCATTCCGAGGTAGAATTACTAACGACGACTCTTTGTAGTCTGGAGGACAGAAAACTCCTGATCCACTTAAACATTCTTCCTTGAATTCCAACATCCCAGATCTTCTGTAAAAGAAGCCTGTGTGGGACACTGTCAAAGGCCTTCCTGAAGTCAAAAAATATGACATCTACTGGAAAACCCTTATTGGTAGCTCGTGTCCATTTCTCGTGCGAGTAAAGAACACTCGTTAGGCAGGAGCGCCCAGGACGAAAGCCGTGTTGGGCATCACTCAATATTTTGTTCTGTTCCAGGTATTTCAGCAAGTGTCTTTTGATAATGCGTTCCATTATTTTACACGCGATGCAAGTAAGACTGGCAGGAAGATAATTTCCGCAGTCAAGTCTTGAGCCTTCTTTATGGATCGGAGTAATGAGTGCGCACTTCCATTCTTCCGGGAGCTCGTCGTCTTCAAATGACTTTTGAAATATTGCGGATAAGGGTTTACACAGTTCATTAGCAAGTTCACGAAGTGCTAGGGCGGGAATTCAATCTGGGCCAGGCGATTTGGCAGGTTTCAGCCGCAGTAGTTCAGCCCTAACTATGGTAGATGAGAAGAGTGGTTCCTCGGTTAAGGAGGCTAGGGAGGGGATAGGAGGGGGAAGGGTAATGGGAGGAGAGGTTTGTTGGCGAATGGATGTATGGGCAAATATAGAACTAGGTTTTCGGGTGAAGACGGACTGAAAGAAGTCGGAAAGGGGGGACGCTTTAACCTGGTCATCAATCTCCACTTTTACATCTGCAGACCTAAGCGCAGGGATCAGCACCTGAGTCCTTTTAGTACTTCGTATATAACCATATAGAATTTTCGGATGCTCCAACGAATTTCGGAGGATGTTTAGTTCAAACTTCTTTCGCAGCTTTGAGTCCTCACTTTTACAGACGTTTCGTTGCCGCTTATATTCCTGTAAGTGTTCGTCGGAGCCAGTTAGTCTGTAACGCCTCCACAGACGATTCCTTTTTCTGAAGGAGGCCTTCAAGTCCGGGTTTATCCATTTGGGCGGTTTGTGATTGTTTTTCTGCTGAGACGACAATTGTACTAACTCCCGTTAAGACACCTAACCGCTCTGAAATATTTGAGAACATGAGAATATTACTTTGCTAAGGAGTCTAAAAGACGTAAAAACTTTTAATGCGTCTCATGGCCATTTTTAGCTCGCGGATATTTTGAGCGTGTTCCATCGTTTCCGTGATGCACAGCCATGCCTTTGAAGGGCCAGCCTAACGTACAGTCTTTATCTTCAGGAGTCTTAGTTCGTAAGAGCATAGGTTCTCTTAGAGTGCCCAAGAAAGCTGTTAATGAATGTAAGTAACTCGTAAGCCGCTAGGGACTGTGGTACCCACATACTAGTATAAGCCCTTACGTAAATAGCAATTACCTGAGCATTTAATAGGATAAAGCCGTGGAAAATGTGCACTTAAACTTGTTTTCTTCTATTTCAAAATGACGATCAGCTCTCCTCGAGTGTGTGGCTGTCGATTCCATCGACTATACGGACGAGATTGAACCACACCTCCGAAACAACTATCGCTTCCGAAGGTTGTCATCGGAAGCCATCCATGTGGATAAAGCCTGGCTTGTGCATAACCGTAAACTGGATGATGCTTTCGGCAATGCTAGAAAACGTCTGGTGAAAGGCGATGGCCTTGGAAGAACGCAGAATGTTACTGTAAGCGTACGCACGGGCTTTGTTTTCACCGACAAGTGGGAAAATGTGGAAAATGTGGCTTCTGAGGGCTTGAAGCCAGGTAACCTGCCAACAACGTGGCTTGGAAAACCAAGTGCCGGTGAGTGATGAAGGTCGTCGGGCGGATACTAGGATTAAATTTGCATAAAATGCTTTTGCTACTGCCGTCAGGACCTCCGTGCGGATGGTATTTGACAACGTGTTTTTTAAAGCTGTTGTGCTTACTTTTCCGAACATCGTTTTGTCTGCGCTAAATTGTTCGAGCCAGGCATGTGCTGAAGACGGACATCAATGATACTGAGCACTTAGTGGCACGTGGCTGTGGTTCAGTACCCACGACGTCGGGCAGTTACTTTTTGCAATACTGAGGGTGATCCGGACTTTGACCCATTTCTCGATGGTTACCCGCGTATAAGTGACTTGATAGGGACGTGTTTCTTTCATCTTAGCGGGTGTGTAAGCGCGCCGGGCAGGTTAGAGTTTTCAGCGTTCCTTAACCCACTTTCGCTTGATCCTAACAATGAGGAGGACGTACTTGTCGCCTGCCTTCATCTTTGAAAATCATGATTAGCATTGTTTTCACCGTTTTCGATGTATTGGTAGGGCCATTGGGAGCTAATTTCATGTAATTTTGAGTTAAGCGTTTAAACGTTGATCTCTGCTCTTCAGCACTGGTTTAACTCTTATTTGGAGCTTTCTTACTCTTCCCACTGTCGTGCAGCCGTTAGGTTAAACAAATAGTTCCTAGCCAGAGGGAATTTGGACTCATCTTGTCGCCAGATTCCATTGAAGAGTGCGTAGCATTTGAAAGTTGGGTGTGTCATTGTCAGTGCAGCCTGACCTGTTTCTTCTTCAGGCCGCCAAAAGGTCATGAGTGCTTTTATCCACAGGATTGTTTACTTTTTGCTTTCTCATACATTCTTCCTTTTTGGAACAGAGTTGTAAGGCATAATCAACTTTGACAAGGTTCTGATGCGTAAGTGAAGCTTGACATGTGCTGGGGTTCTCCGCCAAGATCTGACAATGAAGTCAACCACATAGTCTGCAACCGTCCAGTGCTTTTACCATATGTTAGCCTGTAAGCATCCGTTTTGTTGGTCACGCCCTAATCCATCCATGAATGTTGACAATTCTGTGGGTGTTGTGGGTTGCAAGTCGGTTTGGGACGCTCCTCTTATATTTTCGACATTTTGGTGACACGCGACCAACCGGTTCGGGTGCTATTACGGCTATGTCTGTAGCTTCTGATTCCAGTGTTATCGTTGTGGACATATACACCCGAACGCGTCCTTTTTCTGAGAATCACTTTCCGGGAGGCGTGACGCATTATTTGCATGATTCCAACTATACTACTTAAGGTTGTTTGCTTTTCAAGGGAAAACAACTTGCGCAGCCGACAGTAAGTCTCGGAGAACCAATGCCACAAATTCCTCTCGTTAATAAATCTGGATTTTTATTGCATTTTTGTGGAAGGTTTGGCTGTCTTTAGCATTTCTGCTTGATCGTGCGGAGTATTTATTTTGAATGACGTGCTTGAAGTCAGCGCAAGGCAACCTGCACACCTCTCGAGCTAGACCTTGGTAATGGGAGAAAATAAATCTGAATAAGCCTCCTATCTTTTGCTCCATCTTTCGAGATTTTTCAACTGTCAACATCGAAGAAGTATTTCTCATGACAACCACACCACATTCATCCGCCAGTCCGACTTCAAAATAGGCTTTGGATGCTTCTTCTCCACCACAGCGCTTGATGTAATGCGTAGAGTTAATTTAAATCGCCGCGCAAGCTAGAGAAATGAAGGCGACAGCGTGGAACGTTACCTTTTCGACCGTCATTGTGACTGACCGTTTGTTCAGCTGACTGCTTGTAAGGTTGTCAGAACGCACGTAGAGTCCCTGACTGTTGTATTTGTCTCAATTGCCCTTGCAATGCTCTAAAAGCATCACAATCCCAAACTTCACGTCCAGTAGCAAAGAACTGCCCTCCTAGTCAGTGCACTACCAGTGGACTGTGTTATAAACTGCGTTATAAGATCTGTTGGACTCACGCCTCATTGCCTTCGCAGATAACGTGAACTAACTTGGAGTTCGGACGCCCTCATTGCCATAACCTCCACCTCATAAATATCTATTTTGATTACGTTCCCGTTTAAGATACTCCATCAAAGAGTACTATATTGTTTCAACTTGCTGAACACAACATCTAGACAAATCGAAATGGCACCATGACATGTTTTCCGGTACATCAACTGGAGCGTCGTGATCCGAAATCATGGTTCCCTACACTACAGTTCAATACTAACGCCGTGAATCTAGATGGCGTTTAATGTTCGTAACTTTTATCTACCAGTTCAGGGGCGAGTCCATTAGAGAAGTAACTGTGAGTTTGCCGTACAGATAAGTCATCTGCGATCATGCGGATAGTGGAAAGACTACGAAACGGTGGGACTGCCTTGTGTCGCCTGGCAGTACCTTTATTCGATGGCTCTGCATAACAAAGCGGATCACGACGACAGCTTTCGCGACATTGTTAAAGCCTTTTTGTCTCTTGAAAAATCAGATTTCGGTTATTCTTACACGCAATCAGGCCGTGTTTTGATTCAAAACGGAAGGAAATGCATCAACTAGGCCACTAAACAGAGATCGTCATACCAGATCCCGCCCCCGGTCGCCATTGTTGATAAGCGTCGTCCGTAAGGCGATCGAGCCTAATAATTAAGACATCCTTTAGTAATAGCGGATTTCGGAAGATTGATGCGACTGGCTTAAAAGATGATAATAGTTCGACCGTCGCATCTGACGGTGTCCACCGTGTGCTCCACAGCAGGGTGAAGCAGACACGATGACTTGCACACGAGTTACTTTATAGTGAGGGTGGACTTGCGCAGCATCCACCTCATTCTCTACTCCCCACTTGGACCCGGGGAGGGTGCAGTTGGATGGCGCGGCCGAACCCGCACCTTGGCGCTCCACCCCACACGCCCTGGTCCACAACTAGCACTTGACCAGGATTTTGACCAACAACAGAAAAGGCGTAGATGACTGGGCGGCTAAGCACACAGCCTGTGTACCCAGCGGGAGCAAAATCACGTCTACCGCCAGAGAACCAGGTACCAAAGAATTGTCAGCGCACACCAGGCTGCAAGGGCCATGGTTTGCTAATCATGTCATAGCAGACGTTCACAAACCCTAGGGCCCAGAAGGGTGAGACAGTCCTGGGCCATCACCCTTCAAAGGTCGGGTAATCAGTCAGCCAGTGACTGGAAGGTACCACCCATTAAGCAACACACTTAAAATGCTTGAGAGTGCCACAAGTCACATTGAGAAGAAACCGTGATAGCCTGTCTCTCGGCCCACCAGTCCATCGCTCCACACAAACACACACACAAATGGACAGATTGCGTGAACTGGGAAGAGGCGTCATTCGGTATCCTTCCAAGCCACGCTGCTTAAGGCACCGTGATAGTCCCAGACTCGGGTTTCGACAGGAAGATGGAACCGTGCGTGGGATGTGGCAATCGAGTGCTTGTGGTGGTGCTATTGTTGTGTGGTGCGAGTGCTGGTGGGGTATGTGTGATGTAACCGGAGGTTGTCTACCGAGGGTTCTCGCGGATGCGCATGTTGCCTAATAAGCTCATGCGGTGAGCGAATATATGGGCAGCTGAGGCGGGTGTGATGAGTGCCGCAAAGCCTTGTTGTCGAGACGTACCGTCACTGTAGCAGTCCTACGCATTCAACATTGTTTCCCTGACCGGGTCAGCTTTAATCCGGAGCTGCTAAGGGTCAGGTCTGCAAACCGCACGTCTTTACCGTATTTTGTTCATTTTTCAAACAAATGCATTTTCTCTCAGAGTGCAAAGTCCTTACCCAGACTATTTGCTATAAAATAGCCGGGGTGTGCGCGGTAGCGCGTAGCTTAGGAAATCGCGTCCTTGGGGTCCAGCGTAAGACAGGAATTCTAATGCATGGAACTGCTGTTAGGGACATCTCGCATTGCACACTGTCGAACCGAAGCACATAAAAGTATTCAACGATTGGGGACACCTAGGGTACTTCGACTCGAAAGTGGAGTTTTGCGGCCGATTAAGGTCTCCACAGATGGCATACTCACTCGTCCACTTGACCCAGAGGTAAGTCCTCCCGTAAGTAGACTGTAAACACTGCACGGGTTGGTGCCACCGCCTCCGTGGCCGACTGGCATTTGGTCAGATGTATTTGGGTCGGACTTAGGATCCTGGGACGCACTCTCTGTCACTTGACAATGGAACGCTAGCTGGAAGGTAATTCCTGACTACCTACTTGTCGAATAAATGGAATAGGTTGTATTATTTTGCCGTGTTATGTGCTTAAGCCACCAAAACCAATACTTGCGTGTACGTCGTACGGTTGTAATCATGCGTGATCTGGCGTCTTCGATAATGTCGCGGATCGTACGTCTCCACGCGGGACGATCCGCGGCAGCAATCCTGGTGAGCACGATCCATTCGCCGACGACGGGGACTGCGGTAGTTCTCACACCTTCTTACCTTCCTTTTTGAGGGCAGACACAAGGATGCGTGAGTCCCAGTCATTGGAGACGACCTTAGCTCCCTTCTCTTGGCCAGCCACCTCATGGAGCCAAATCGCCACAGTGTCGACACAGAACGTAGATTTTACCGAGGATATCGTCCTATCCGGACGCTTTGTCGTATTGCCTCTGTATTGCATCGCCGATTTTCTTGCAGGGGTCACATGCCACTGAATAGGTTAGGGAGGAATGTTCGGTACTGACGAAGCCGATAGTAGCTTCTCAAACTTTATCTGACTAAGGGTTTAGTATCGCTTGAGAAATTCTCAATCCGCCCATGATTTGGGCTTGACAGTTAAGAAATAAACCTCTCCAGGTGCGTACAATTTGTGCAACAGCGCCGTTCCTTTGTCGGGGGATGAGCTGGCCAAGAGTCCACCGACTAATTAACCACAATTTTTGTGTATCAGGGGTACTGAAAATTCGTCTAACTGGGGCTTTGTAAGTGCCAATGGCCACTGATAATAGCGATTGATACACTCGATTTACTTAAGCTGTGGTGAACCCTGTTGGTCTGTGCAGTTACCGTGCAGTATTTATAAACCGTCAGAAACCAATTCATGTTTTGTCCTCTACCACGCCATCTCATGCTTTTCCTTTGACATACATGGTGTGATGATTACTCCTTCGGAATAGGCAAACCATGATTTGCCTGCATGAAAACCAGTGTGCAGTGTATGACAGAAAGAGTGCCAGTGAAATTCCCGTCGTTCCTGCCTGCACACCAACTAACTACTGACTAACGCGGCAGGAAGACTATCGGACTCACGCCAGTATACTGACTCGCCGACCATGCTGACTATCGCCCGGCCACCACCAAGTTACGATGATCTACGGAATGTAGCTTCTCGTGCGAACGCGGTCGCCGGATTTGCCGTTCTTTTAATCAACACTAATCCACAGTGTTCCAAGACTATATCTGGCCAAAAAAGTTCTCCCTAGGATTAGTAGTTGCTGGGTTGAGGACGTGGACAGTTTCAGTTATCTCGTGACCAGTTGTCTCCAAACGGGTAAATTGGAGGAGACTCATCGTCTTGACATATGCTGCGTGAAGTTACAATCCTTGGTATTACCTAGACTATTTAGACTTAAATGTGAACAATCACGACCCTGCCGTGTACAAGTAAGCACAACGTACGAGTTTTGGTGACATGATGTCGCAGTCTCAGGTCGACGCTGCATCTGGTTGAACCACCCAAACGGACAATTTTTCACCGTTTTATCGGTAGAAGACGTCCTTGGAAGATACTAAAGTCTATTGCTTGAGACATAGTTCGTCAGTGAAAGTCTCACAACCAAGGATTCTCAGCTCAGGACCGCGTGTAGCATACCGCTCGCGCGCAGGCGCTACCTTCCTCACCTTCGCGATGGAATGCTCTAAGGGAGGTTGTAGTCGTGCTGATCATCTCGCGACGAGACTACGCCACTGCGAAAACGAGGAACTTGCACTTGCGAGTTTTATACGACCTATCCGAAATTTTCCAGCCAGAAACCAGTCGAAGTGTACGAAGCGCTACTACGCGAGATTTCAACTTATATGAAGCCCCTTTGCTACAGCGGTTTTCGCCGTGCTTTCTTTTCAAGCCAGGCATTCGGTATTTGTCGTTTACACAGTCAGGACCCAATCGCATTACGTATTGCAAGGTCCGGGTTTCGGGGGACGGAGGTCCCGCCTCCGTGAAGACTGTCTCAGTCACTAAAGCCTGAATCTCCTCCTTAAAGGAGTGAGGATGAAGGGTTGGTTTTGTCTCACACCAACGTCACCACGGTGTCGGTTTCTTTACATTTACTCCTGCGAGCGGGTGTTCATATAATTGGTGAATGCGGGACACCATCAGCCACCAGGGCTTTTAGAGATTCTCTTTGTCCATTCGAGTCGACGATTTGACAAAGGTAACTGAATACTTCACTCCATGGAGTCTTGTAGACGTCCTTGTTCTCAAATGCTCTGGCAAGTGGCACATCCCGCAGGCATGTCTAAGTTCTCTGAACATCTCACGGTGAGCTGTACCCTGCTTGACCTGGCCTCTCAGACTGGAAATTGGCCGGCTGGTGGTCTAAGAGTCAGACTGCAATGGCTGCATGATGTAACCCTTATGGCAATCCCGCACCGTGGGATCTGAGCCGGGTGCGGCAGCACGCCTAGGTGTGGCTTCGGCCGCGCCAACCTCTTTTTTGTCGATGGTTAAAATCCTGGTCAAGTGTGTGTTGTGAACCAGGGGGTGTGGTGGCACGCCTAGGTGCGTTTCCAGCCGTGCCAGCCACCTGCGCCCTCCCCCGACTCTGGTCCAGGTGGGGAGTGGAGGAGAGAGAGTGCGGCAGATGCTACGAAAGTCTACTCTTACTAAACAAATCCGCGCGCAAGTCACCGTTCCTGCACCGCTTTGCTGTGGAGCACACGGTGGACATCTTCGGAAGCGACGGTCGAACTGCCACCTTGAAGTCGACTAAAGCAATGGTAGATGATAACTATAGGTGGCGGCCATAGAACATTTCCTGGTTGACTGGGAAGGTGCAGACCCCCCCCCCCCAACATGAAACTGCTTTACCCTCTGCACGCGGTGTGCTGCTTATATCAGCCGACGTTACCAGAAGTACTGCCGCGCCAGGGAATGTCGTCCTGGTCCTTTATTATTTTAGGACGAAGTCATCCAGCCGAAGTCCTTACGCCGGACGATGCTGTAATTAGAAAAGGCCCATGTACTTTGTAGCTGTGCCCTATTCCTTGAGCATGTGCACGTTCCCACAGGCGACACATTTCCTCTTGTCTGAGGGTGCGATTCTCACAACTGTCATCTGGTGTACGGTGCTTCGCTGACGTATCAGTAAGAGTTCTGTTCCGTACGTTGCATTGGTGGACTTTCGAAGAAGTAAAATGTATCAAGAGCGCCCAGCCAATTTAACTGCTGACGTAGGACTCCCGACGCGTTTTTGAGACAGCCTGAATGAGAGTTGCATCCGTTAATGGCACTCATTCTGCATGCGACGTCTTGGGGAGCTAGTAGTACTTCACCTAAAACATTGACACATCAGCTGTGAGTTTATGGAGTGAGAAGGCCCGGCTCTCCCACGCAACTTTGTTCGTGCATGTCTTCGTTCTTCATATACTCATATAGTCACGCTATATTTTGCTTATGTCTATTTAGTGCTTGCAGCCTAGACGACAAGCACTGATGTGTGGACTATGGAATTTTTAGGTCTGTGGCGCGGTAGTAGTCCTGACTTCGAATCTCATTATGCGGCTAACAAGTCATAATTTCGGTGCTGTTAAGTTCGATGTGGCACTCACTACTAACGACAACAACTGCTGTCTACGCCACGCACCATTGGTTTGTTTCTAAATCGCAAAGTTAACTCAACTTCATCATGGCTGTTTCTTGAGCACTAGCTCGCTTCCAAACCTTTTATCTGGTATGTACCGCCCTTAGAGGCCTCACTACCTGCCAGTGGCTCCCGGAGGACGGTGTCTGCTCTTTGTCAAATGCGATTTCGGGGATTCTTTCCTTGTCCTGGAAAGCCTCGGCGACTCTAAGATTTATTACCACAAAAAGCTCCTGCGCACTTTTTAGGCATCCATTTACTGGTTTTCATTATACTTGTACGCCCCGGTACGACCCTCTAACTTTCTGTGGATATTCAACACTGGGGCGAGACATTGGTTCTACGACTGCGTATTTCACTGTCGCGTTTTCTTATTGACACCCAGACTGCTTGCAGCACTTTTGGGGTGCGGCTGCCGTCATCAGGCACACGCGTTTATATCGATCGCTATCGGCTACAAGAACTAGTTAGCAGTTTTGTTCTCAACTCGGCTGACTTTCGCACAGCTTGCATGACGCTAGACAGTGCATAACCGTTTCATTTCCGAAATACGCCTTGCGCTGCATGATCCACTTTCTCCGTTTAGAAGAAATCTTACCGTGCAGTGTTTCACTCCATAAAACGTAATACGTCTCAGACAGAAAGTGTATCAGAAACCCTATGCTTGTTATTCTTCTAATCTGCAATAAACTCAAAACCACTTCGGAAGTGGCATGCTTGTGTTGCCTGACGTGTGGGTCTTGATAAATTAATGTTCTACGTGACGAGTCGTCGAGTACTGTAAATTCTCCTATGAAAAGGTAGAGATGACTTCTGGATAAGTGTCGGTACGTATCCTACTTGGCGCCATCGTACCAAGTTGAGTTTTCTCCAGCTACGACGTCCTTATGCGTTAATTTCACACTGAAATAATGTAGGAGTGGAGTGAGCGGGCTCGAAATGAGCGACGTCGGCAAATGTGGCTTGCCTTGCAGAAACTGTTTCTCAATTATGCTCGTATCTCGGTTTGTCAGACTTTTTCACTGATTCCACAAGTCGTTACCGCACGTGCCGTCATAAATGCACTGTGTTCTGCTTAACTCATACTTCAGTTCAGTTCAGTTTATTGAGGGAAATGTAGGTCTTCACCTTTCGACTCCCTATTTGTGTACAAGCAAATGCAAAATCTCAAAAACTCGAAAAGGTATCATAAAGGGAACAAATAATCAGAAAAACGTCAGATCTGTGCAGACAAACAAACTGTCTCGAATGTTAGTGGTACGAGCAGTTGTAGAGAGGTCGTTTCGAGTGCAAGGAAATACTTGTATGTGTAAAAGTCCAATCTTGCACTTGAAAGGTCTCGATAAAGTTGATTACCCTACTGAAGCTGTCGCAACCTGTATTCGTTTTGACACGCCGCCAAACTACTGTACCGAAGTCAGTGGTTAAGCGGTAGTTTCTCACGGATCTACTTAACTTTCGACTGCGTCTGGTCTTCTCTGAAGTGGTCCTTTATCCAAGAAATTCTTTAAGCCACAGGGAGACCTCGCCGGTACCTTGACTGGTTACGATAATAAGGTTCGGTCGTGCTTTTTATTTCTCGAATTTCACCTCGAAGTGTGCGTTGCCGTTCTGTTTGATCAGCTTTTACTAAATTCTGCCCACCTCTTTTTTTCCACAGGAGCGACTGTTAGCCAGTGCGTCGATATCTCTTTGGCTTATCTATCGTCTTCCCGCTCGAATGCCCAGAAAAGAACGAAGGCCAGGCGAGACAACCTCGATACACTCGAAGATGATCCCCCCTTTTTCGTCATACTCGTGCGCTGGCTCAAAGGCCGTGTCTATATTGCCCCTTCGGTCGCTCCCACCGAGTCAAATGGGGGTAAAGACGTCTCGGACAGCCGTTTGGATCCACAGCCTGGTTATACCTGCCATATGACAAAGTGGACACGGATGGACCCCCTAGATCCGGCGAAGATGACACTGGAAGAAGCATTTCAAATCAGTCAGGTCGATATCTCTTGATGGCCCGTTTACGACAGTCTGTGTACTCCCATTGGAGCGAGATTAGTATTTGAGATAGACGCTACTCCTCATGGTTTCGACTTTTCCTGTCTAACCAATTTGAAGTGTCCTGCTATCCAAAACCTTATATTCAACCTTTGTGTTCAGTTTATATTTTTACTAATCGCTCCTCCGTGCGCACCGTCGAATGACTTTCATATTAATCCCTAGTCAGAGGATGCAACTTTGTTTCATTGCATGCAAGTACATGTTTCTCTGAACAGCACATGATTAACTGTCGTCCTACAATGACTCGTGTCAGTGCTTCAGCGCCTTCGTCATTAGATGCAGGGCCGCCTTATCGACGTCCCATAGATCCAGTAGTTTTGTGCTATACCCGTCATGCCTCACTACGTGAGTGACAGCAAGCTCCGACTATTTGTTCCTGTGACTTTTGGGAAATTAACTCTACAATACTATTGTTTCACATACTACCGACCCGACATAACTTGCCAGAGCTTTGTTAGGGCCATTGTTTCAAACTGGACCTACCTTAGTTTTTTCCCCTTAACCCTTGACCAACAGGTATACCTGTACGAGTACAACGATGAAATGGAGCTGTTAGACACCCCAGAACATATTGTCCCATTTGCCGTGGTCAGCTGCCGTTGGAAGCCGCCCTCTTCTGGTTTCGGTGGCAATGATGCTGTCGTCAGTGATACGACTATCATAAAGAACTCACATCTGTATGACACGAATGACGGCGCTATTCTTCTTACAAAACAGCACAAATTGTCCCGTTCAGCCACCAGACTATCTGACCAGTTTGCGTCTGATAGTTACTCTCGTGCGATTGCGGCAGCTTACGACAGTGATTCACCCCCCTCTTGGCCTTCTTCGCTTCGAAGACCAAATCCATCATCTTCAACGGCGAGTCTCAACAAGCGCAGCCTCTTAGGGAACCCGTCGCCTTCACTGTTACCCACACCAACGATGAGTATTATCAACAACCAGTGTGATGTAAGAGCCGCGTGCAATTTTAACGCCCTCCTAAAGTAGCGTTTAAAAGGATTTACAAGAGAGCTCTGTATTCCAGGATTCCGTTTATTTGTTAAAGTCCTCCTGATTCTTATGAAAATTCCAGGGGTTCTCTGACTGCTCGTGGCTTTCACTCATGCTGATGTTTTGACTTTTTCTTCTCGTATTTAATGCTATTTAAAGTTTGTGATACAAGCGTCCGAATTTGGCTTTTCGGAGTGGTTTACACTCGCGCTGTTTAAGGACACAATCTTGATGTATGCAAAATGTTTAGATTTCGCCCATATGTCCATCTAAACACGCCTTTTCATTGTCTAGTTCCGGACCATAAATAAACGGAACGGCATTTTGCCTTTACCGGCTGCCCAACCAATTGCAACGCAGTCATGTGGCATTTTCGAACGTCTACACTTTGAACCGGACGCCTCTCATCCCGAAAGTCGACTATTTCGGTCATCATTTCAACCTGACGCGGCCATCCTTTCTGGTCGGGCGTTGCAGCTTGCTGTGGGTCAGTCCGAACGTATCGGCGTACAACCATGTCATCCTTCTAGCGATGGACACCAGCGTTATATTGTTAACTGCTGCAATCTCGTCTGGCCAGTCAGGAATGAGGGCTCTGATGTCCAACTCTGGCAACTTCCTCTTGAGATAATCTCTTACCGACATCCTGGTTTCTCGGTATACGAGGGAATGTGCGTCCTCACCACTAATCCTTATTCTTCATTTTAAAGTATATTTGTGTGCGTTGTCAACCATTTATTTACTCTTCCTTTTGTGTTAACCCGTTTCGGACGGACGGAGACATGCTACTCTTTCGCATCGCTCTTTTTTAAGAATTGCCTAGAAAAATTAATAGTTTTACTTTTTGACTCCTGAAGTATTGTTCATAGGGTTTTTCAATATTTTTTCCAGACTTCAACCGCGGTTTCTTATTACCGGCCTAATATCCCTCACGAAGCTTCATTATGAATTGGCGGGCCTCGAGGAGCCGTCGTCAGAAGAGAGCCTAGATCCACGGACGAAGACAAAACTTGCTGTCTGCCCCTACGTTTCCGTTGATCGCCTTCGGGAGTGGACCATTCCTGGAGTCGATAAATCTGAAAACCGATCGAGGCCTGGCAGATTTAATGGCTACTGGGGCAATTATTTCCTGTTTACTTTGCCCGATCTTACAACACAGCGTTGTGAGGTGGCGAAGCTTTGTGAAGCCCTCCGCGCAAAGCAGTTTGTTAGTAGTTTTCTCACATACGACTCTTTGCAACGATTTTCGGTTCCTTTCGTCTGCGTAGAGCCGTTGCCCTTTTGGTCTCGTTTTTCCCCACACGTACTGCACGTTTAGAAATTGCATGTTTCCATCCTATTCTGAGTGCTTCACAATCGTTCGGTTGTTTGTACAATAACGAAGCAATTGCTACGGGATCAAATCTAGTCAGAAACCTGCCCTCTCTCGAGTCAATTTGCTCTAGAGTCTTTGTGATGGTTTAGCTATTTGGAGGTGTGCTTTTATGTAATCTATTTCTTTCCCTTAAGAATAAACTCAGTCATCTTTTTGGTTTCCTAGGAGAGGCGAATTGATAGCGGTCACGGACAGGTGGCCATATACGCGACCTGGAAGCGACCACATAGACATGAGCAAAACTAAACAAAAAGTCACAAGACTGGACGACATTTTTTGGGTTTTCTCACGATGCTCTTGGGCAGCCATGTTTCCGAGCAATACCTTTGACGAGAAACACGGACACGCGCTTTCACAGTGCGCAGATGGTCCGCAGATTTGATTTAATGAGTTGGTCCCCTACCGTGGAGGGAGGTTTGTCAGTACGTTGCTATACTTCGGTAATTCGGGGCGAGTAGGGCATCAGTTGGGTTATCAACAGGCGTGCACCCGTCGCTTTGGTTTGCCAGAACTCCGTAGCCTGTTTTCTCCCGGAATGCTTGCCTGATTGGTGCCCATCTATTGGTGAGCGCGCGCCCTGTCTACCCTGACAGGGACCCACCTTGAGTCGCTAATGGACTACAGCCCTGTGGTTCAGTTGGCTCACTCATGAGACCCAGTTTGTCTACCCTTATTTTGGTATTATTGCGCATGCATGTGATTGACGAACGATATGACCGGCCGAAGATGGCATAGACTCTGAAAGGTTACTGTCCTGGTCATCTAGTGCCCCTGTCAGTCTGTACTTCTTTCCTCGTCGATTGTTCTTCCTCGGATGTTCGGGTTCTTCATGTTTTCCGTCCTGCCTAGGATGTGTAATAACCTAGCTGACGATCCTCGAGTTTCATTTGCTTTATACTGTTAGCACTTAGACACTAAGGATAAACCATGTTCTGGCAAGGACTCATTGTTTTCTAAGTCGTTTCGTTCATTTTTAGGCCTGCGTAGTCCGTATGCCGTGCAATTCAAACGCTGCTCTTTTCATTTTTCCGGATTCGGACTTTTCTCGTTCCCTAGGTGAGTTTATATAAACTTGTCGATGAGGAAATATTTTAGGTATTCCACAACTAGACAGCCTGGAAGCTGACTCATTCCATGGGATCTTGCTCCTCCCCCATTCACTCAACATGACTTACGGAAGCAAATGTGATTGCAAACAGTCGTCAAAGTTAGCCAATCCTACAGATCCGGTGGAGATCCGGAAGAACACGGGTAAGGCTCTGACTTTATCTAGGCTGTTGTGCCTGGCTACCTATGGATTATTTCACCCTCTAAATACTGACCTCTTGTGACTTTGAATCTCCATTGTCACCTTTTGATTCACTTTTGGCCAGAATCCCATATAAGCACATAATGAACAAGACTGTCCATAAGCGAACGCAAAGGTACCGCGTTTTCCGCACTAACGAATAGGCTGTTTTATTTAACCTCACTCTTCTGTACTCTAGCGTGAATTTCTCCTAAGACGCAAAAAGTCTCCCAGACAAATAGCGGTCTCGTGCGGAGCTTTGTGGAGACTGGTCTTAGGTCTACTTAAGATCCCTATCTTTCCTATGTCTGCGGTTTGTTTATCATGTTTCAAGCACCCATTACCTATTTTCTAATCTTTGACTAGTTGAGACCTCCAGGCTACGCTTTTACACGGCGTTTATCCGAATTTCAGAGTTTCAGTCTGATTTGGTCGGAGTCAACATCATCGCCTTGTCCTCTCTAGTTGCTGCTCTACCAGACGGCGGCAAGGGCCTTCTGCGAAAAACGGTTAACTTGATGTCAAATAACAAGAATAGCAAAGAAGAAATGGAACACGAATTTGTACCAGCCGGACAAATTCCAGACACGAGCCAGCGACAACCATCAGCCAATCGAGAGGTCCCAACCCAGCTTTCCTCCGGTTTCGCCGACGGTAGCAAAGACTTTGTGGAATCTCCAAGCAAGGAGTTTTCGAGTGCACATTTACATACCAACTACGATGGCAGCAAACATATTGATCGTCTCCTCCCCGGTTCACTCAATAATACCGATTTGATGAAACAGGAGCCCGTACCTAGTGCGAAAAGACAGGTCTCGGAGACGGTGCCTAAACATGGACATGCGTACTACATTGATCTCTCCGATGATTCCCCGGAGAAAGCGCGAACAACCCTTCAAATCTCATCCAGCCCGCAGTCAATGAGCATATCCCCCGAGAAAAAGGGGACTAGCACATCCCTCCCGTCAATGAATCCCGCTCAGATCGGTGATTTAGTATGTATTGATGAGCCCGAAGACCCTTCCACACACCTATTATCACCGGCCAAGTCAAGTGACATGGATTTGGACTCATCATGCGATTCTGCTTGCAGCACCCCAAAGAAAGCCCGAGAGAGCGTGTTTAAGAAGTCTTGCAAGTTATCTAACGATGATCATGCTTCACCTTTGGCTTCAGCAGATCACGCCCGAAGGCGGCCGTTAGGCATTCCCCAACCGCACGTCCCTCCAGCGCCTGCAAAGTATTCGCCGCTTTCATTTACTGACGCTCTTATGAAACAGGGAAACATTGCGCGAAATGTTTACTCGACTCCCATAAAGTCACCCTTAAGTAAGATTGTTTCGTCCGTTTCCAACGAGCGGACAGCCGAAAAATCCACAGTAGCTTGCCCAACTGTCTCAACTCCTTCCTTGACTCCTTCCAAATCGGGCGTTAATGGTAGTGGAGGTTTAGGCGTTAGTGCCGCTTGCGGGGTGGAAAGGTCAAATTGTGGTGGGCGATTCGGTCAGGAGGCTCCTCCTTGCAAAGCCCTTTTCGGCAGGATTTCCCCCACACTATCTGATATCGATTTTAACACAGACACCAAGAGATCACGTACTCTGCGATTGCGCTCGCGTTCACCGCACTTCCCCAGCCGATCACCCCCTCCAAAGCGACTATTAGCCGACTCGCCTACCGCAGGCCATACATCTGTAGCAGACCTGCGGGAAAATGATTCGGCTCCACCCCTACAGGATTCGAAGGGCTTTTCCGCGTCTTTGCCGTGTTCAGACGCGACTTTTTCACCTCCATATGTTCAAACAGCGCCAGGGAATGCCTGTCTGCTACCCCACGTTCGATCAATTTCCAGAGGAAATCGCCTCCCATCCTACAAAGACGGCGAAATGAGTATGACACCGTCCACTGCGAGTTCGCTTTTTGTGGCACCCGCGCCGACTGTGCGGTCTACCCCTGAAGGTTCTACTGACAGACCCTTAGGTTTTGCCGACATCGACGCGCGAGTTCTCCCACCTATCTTTGAAGATTCTGCGAAAGACAAGCGCGATACGGGTAACTTAGAGAAGTTATTTAACCCCACACAAGGCCACGATTCGGATTGCCGGGCGCCACCGTTCCGAAGTATTTCACTGGCTCCTTCGCCGCTGGCGTCTCAGAGCATGGTCCCTAAAGACTTCGATGCCAGGTCCAACCGGCAGGGTTTTGGGGGTTCTCTTCACTCTCCCCACCCGTTATGTGCGTCTCCGGGTGACGTTTTATCAACTTCACTGCCAAATCTCGGTCTCAGTGAGTTATCAAAACCACCTGCACTGCCGGACCGCGATGTTGACCAGCCAGACTTCCGACTACCGCCTCCGTCCCACGTTCCTACCGGTTCACTCATACCTTCACCCTCTCAGGACAGAGTTCAGAGTCCCAAACCAGTTGTCCCACCCATGCCTGGGTCGACTTCTGATCCACAGTACGGAGGTCCGAAAATAGAAGAGGAGGAAGGCGAGATTATTGACGACGATGAAGACCCTGCCGATGATGGAGCTGAGGATTCGGTCGAATCAATCGATCTGGACCTTGGTGACCAAAGTTTTGGAGATGCTGACAGTGAGAGTCTCACGTCATACAGCCTGTCGCCATCACCCATCAAGCCAGGAAAAAGGTTCTACTTGCCCCCTTGGAAGAATACGAAGAAGTACTTTGATTATAGGAGGGCCAGAGAGCAAGAAAGACTTCTACAGCCGTACGATCCTTCCTCAGTTAACCGAGTTCGTAAGTCTGAAAGGACACGTAGAACCTCCTACTGCCCTACTTCGGCATACCTTCCGGAACAGGAGTTCGACGAGCCCAGATATTCCCCAAGCGGTTTTCAACCGGACTACCGCGATGTGGATTATCGTTTTCCGGTTCAGACCCATGCTTCTTCTTTTGAGGGGAGCACAGACACTGATTTCAGTGAAAACGGCGACCGTGATTACAGAGTGCCCAGAGACCCTGGTTCATTGAGTTATTCGGAGACCTCCGTGGGGGCCCAAGGGCGCTACCAAGTCTATGTCCCAAAATCAGCCGAAGCCGTCTCGATGCCGGTTAAAGTCATCAATCACGCACATGTCGACAAGCGGCCTGCTCTAGCTAACAGGTCTCCCAGAAATTCCGTTGAATCGAGAATTTCCAAACCTGACGCGGGATTTCTGCTACCGAAACAGCCTCAAAAACCTGTTGCATTGCTGGCTGATCCTACGCTATCTCCGTCGAATTCTAGTTCTTCCGCTTTTCCTTCCTACAATCGGAAAGAGGCCCCACAGGCGGTGCCGCGGCTTCGGTGTAGCGTAACCGTTCCTCTGATGGGAGAGCCTCCCATAAGTACGCCCCGTTTCCTTCCGCCGTCCGTCTTGCCAATTAACCCGGTAAGTGTAGCAATTGGTCGACCTGGATTGTACATTCAATCCCACCAGCCGTTGATTGGCATTCCTGGATTGGCTACCACCCCAATGAATAATCCTTTTGCAGCGCTGAACCAGGCGGCCCTCCTGCCATATTACGCGTCTATCCTCAACTGCCCAAACCCAACTTGGGGGAGTGGCCGTAAATAACGGCGTAGACCCTTTGCCTTTTGTAAAGTGTGCATATAGATTCGGTCAGATTTGTACATATTATTTGAGGAAATTTTCCTCTTAATCGTTTTTCACCTTTGACAGGAACACTGACACAAACCAGATGTATTTTGTTCTCATTGTGCGGACATTTCCTGTTATGCATTTTGTACAGAACTATCCCGTTTTTCCGTCGACTTCATTCTGCAAATACGATGTCACCTCAAAAGATTTAGGTATCCAGGAGTTGACGCAAATTTTCGATTTGCATGCTGACTCTTGACTTGCTGAAACGTACATTCCACACCAAGCTACAACTTCTAGGGCTTCGGTCCTTTACAATTTTTCTCTTCAGAATGCGAATTTCCTCCCACCCAAACAGTTCGAAAATCGCATGTGATTCCTTCTAAGGGACCCTTTTTTTAACGCCAACAAAATGAGCATAGGCGACTATAAAGCAATAGGCTGATGGGTTCGTCCCTGGACTTCGGTTTCCAGATTTTTTCACAGAGGACGGTACAAGAGAATTCGGGAATCAAATCTGAAATACTTAGTTCGTTCGCCTGTCGTTGTGATTAGCTTTAACACGTAGGATAATTTTGGGTACAATCTATAACCTGTGCTTGCGGCGTTCACCTACCTACGAATCAATTAATAGTGACCCTCACTAAACCGATCACGTCGCTCGGCATGGCGTAATTGGTACACTTAGTTATTCTTGTCGAGTCCTCGCGGACAGTTTCAGCGACGTTTACCAGTCGAGGACGAAACGTTAAGTTGAATACACTGCGCTCGGGATCGCTGTTCTCACTGTAGCTGGACTTACTAGTCTCGTGGGATTCGTGTTTGATTGTGCCCGGCGTGTGGCCGTATGCTGACTAGTCGACATTCTGTATCCGCAGGGAAAGGGACTCAGTCATTGGGGCAATAATTCTCTTCCCTAGGCGTTCGGCATTCACAGTCACACCTGAACCTTTGCACTCGGCGCCCCGCCGTGTCACGGGCTCTTACGCAATACTTGACGCACAGCACTGTTATGGGTTGGAGCTCCTGACGGGCCCGCTGATTTTCCGCAGTTGCATAACTTATCTGCGAGGTTCCCGACTCCGCAGTACATTCCAAAGTGGCCGTTAATGTGGTTCCGGTAACAAATGACTAAGTTGATAGGTCTGCCGGTTAGCAAAATTCTGGCATACAAATACAGAAAACCAGGAAAACGTGCTCAAACCGTAACTAGTGGATGCGCTGAGCGCATGGCGAAATGGCCTGTGCGAAATCCGCTGTCCTTTGGCTGTGTGCGCGTGCTTCGCTGAATATTTTCCTAAATCTGGCTGTGGGCCCGAACTTCCTAATCCGACCCGTCTCATTTATTTCACATCTCATGAGCGTCCAATGTTTGACGGGATCAGTATTTGCCAGTTTTTGCAGGGAACCGTTTTGACAAACGACATTCCGGTGAGCGTAGTTTTTCGTTATCTGCCATGCAATTGTCTTCCAGCGGTCCTCATGATACATAACGAATGCATCCGGAAGAATGAGACGCGCGGAAATCTAAATGACTTCGACAGATTGGCAATGCATATCAGCGCAAATTACACTGGCACCGTCTGACTAGTAGTAGCGTGTAAATAGTGGAGAAAGCTAACGATATTTCCCAGAGTTCAAACGAGCAATCGATCAACAGGCAGCGCTAAGCAGACTGAAGTCGGAATGCATGAGCCGCCGCGCTGGTGACCACGGGTAGCCATCTGCACGTCTTACGCAGAGTTCTGTGCAGAATGACTGCCTCCCAAGTGTCTGCCCTTTCTCTTAGAGGACTGGACGCTGGGATTGTGTAGGTCAGAGTATGTTCCTTATCATAGCCCTTTCATTCAAGCCCAACACTAGTTTCCTAACGGTAAGGGGTTACTCCTCCCTGGAAAAAATTGTCTATATTACGTACTCACTAGGGTTTTTCGGACAAAACAGTTTAGTGGACCAACTCCGTTTTGCCCCACGCTAACTCCCTCCGAAGGTCAATTAACCCCTCATGCCAATTTCCACCTGTACCCCTGTGTGTCGCGTAAGATTAGCAACCAAAACGAGACCAATATGACAGGTCAGAAGTGCAAAATCTATTGAACAAAATCTTTCGATGACGTTCAGCGTATAAGGACTGCTCATGGAAATGTCCTCGCAGGCGTTTGGCTTAAGTGTTGCTGTCACTGGTGGTGTTATTGGTTGACGTAGGGACGGAAGCCACTGATCGGACCAGGTACCCAGTAGCCAGTGGTGGGCTAGGGTGTGCACCGACGGTGTTATTTGAGGAAGAGTATCTGTGATGCTAGCTGCTTCCGAAAGTGCGTCGGAGACAGGCCAAGATTGCCTGTGTCCAACAACGTTCTTGTTTTGCTGCCATGGCTGTGATATCATCAAATGATGCGCTGACGGCTGATCATTGCTGCCCTACCCGGGAGTGGGCGGCGAGGGGCAGGTTCGGCTATGACTGCAAGCAAGCGTGTGCGAGCTGTGATCAGTTGAGTGGCTGCAGGCCAGCGCTTCTATTATAGGCTGATTTGGCTTCGCGACGACGATGAGTGACCTCGAACCATTCGAGCTTCGAAACACACAAGGACAGTGCAGTGATAGAAATCGATCGCAAACTAGTGCGATTCCCGAATTCGTGGACGCGTGTGGTTGTCTGCCCTTGGGGATGAGTGCGTGGTCCCTAGCGTAACGTGTGTTCTACAGGAGAGGGATTTGCGTCCTCTTGAGGTACCAACATACGTCAGTGGGATAAAGACATGACTATAGGTCCCCTTTTACCTTTGACATCAGCGCATTGTTCAGTCGCTGATATTGAGCCTGTGCGACTCCTTTGGTTTGTTAATGGTATGTCGTCCTGTGGACCAAGCGCTGTCACTGAAGAAAAGTGAATTTAAGAAACAAAGGAAAATTGATTCATGAGTTCTGGCTGGTAACCACGGTGGCGTATGTTCCAAGGTTAGACTGCAGTTATTCCGGACCTTTTTTGACCACAGCTTTGGTATCGGTGTAGGAGACAGAAATGGACCACGTAGTAAACGGGCTATTTACCATTAGAGGCAGAACGAATGCATATGCTCGAATCTAGCGTCAACACGGAGCAAGTTAATGCCTGAAGAGATTTACGCCTCCAAATTTCGGTGAGTTGAGAAGAAGACGGTATAGAGTTCGAAATCACGCATCAAAGATGATGGTAATTCAAATGGTTAGGTCGCTGTAGTCTCACGGCCACCTGCAATTTAGGGCCAGGGCGCCAAACATTTAACGTCCCAAGAATACTGCTTCGAAAGGACGTTGTTCAAACGGTGTGTAAATCGAATGTTATAAAACTGATGTCGGTATTGAGAGACGCATTTTATACGTCGAAGGGATAACTTTGTCTCCAACCTGTTCAGAATCTCCATCGTTCTGCTAAACCTGAGCGTCGCTTCCCGAATATACACGAAGAGTCGTCATGAGCATATCCATCTGGGGTCTTGACAAAAAATAAGTAACGGTCTTGTCTTTGTCATGGAGATGCAGAAGGGCAAATAAACGTTTGGGAAGCAAGTCAGAGTGACGGACTGAATCTGAGTAGTAAGGTTGAGATTCACCTTTAGTGTGGGGACGACTGTTTTGTAGTTGTTAAGAGTAACGAAACTATGATCATGCAACAGATGACGAAAGTAACATTTACTAGATGTGCCATTTTATTAAATTTGAAGCAAAGTTATGAAATGTGCTTTCGATCAAAGAAGACTGCTCAAGTAGACTTATAGTATGAGTTGTCATGCAGCATAATTCAACAACAACAGGATGCTGACTTTTTAATGAGCTTTTTTTCGCTTGACTGAAAAAACTAAACTGTGATTACTTAAGTGGTATGAACGTTTCCCCTCGATACTTGTTTCTCTTATAAATTCGATTATATTTTATAGAGAAAACGCACAAAAATATTCTTTCTTGTGCTCGCTTGGTAGAAAAGTACCTTGGGCGGATAGTTAAATGTCCGCTTCCGAGCATAGTAGAAGGGGAGATTGTTGGGACAAATTCCTTGGAAAACAAATAGAGGGTCGTCAGGCGGAGTAGGACTGTGCAGGTGCTTTTTTGCTGAGCTATGGGCAATGCGAGTCTCAGATGCGTAAATAATTGACGTTCTCAAGTCTATATATTTCCTATAGTTTGCCATTTAAAATGTCCTAATTCCCAAAAGTGCAGACTGTTTTGCAAATCATAAGACGGTTCTAAAACAATGTTTGGCTTCTGCCGGAAATTTACGCCGACAGCAGTACGGGGAACAGTGGTCAGTTAGTTGGCCGATGCAAACACTTGCATAATCAGTTGTTCCTGTGGATCTAGGCGTTTCTCGCTCCATTTTGAATTCAGAGTGCAGGGATGAATTCGCTTTGTAAACGGAACAGTTGTTATTTTCTACCTCTTCATTTACCGAAGTGACTCAGTTGCGATGACTACGACAGATAGTTTACTATAGCCGCAAGCTTCGGATCACATTCCACAGCCCGAAATATCCTTCAGAAGTTCAGGAGGGCAGAATGTGTGGTGTGCAGGCTGAGTAGGCAGCAGCGTCAGTAACTAGGACGTGAAAGGGGAAGAAATGTTGGGGTAAGTGTACGTACATGACAGTTCAACCGTCGTGGTCGAGGATGTCAGCTGTGCGCTCCACAGCTGGGTGAGAGAAGTGACGGCGACTTGCGTGTGAGTTTGTCCATAGTGGCAGTGGATTTGCACCGAATCTACCGCACACTCTCCTCCCTCGCCTGGATCCAATGTAAAGACAAACCCAAAAAGACCAATGGCAGGGAAGGACGAAGGCAGCTGGAACAGCAAAAATCCGCACCGCCACACCTCTTAGTCTACAATGCACACTGGCTAGGATTTTACACAATAAGAGAAGAGAGTTGGCTCAGATCCCATTAGGTGGGAGTGCCACGGAGGCCATATTAAGACGGAAACGTTGCAACCTGACTGTAAGTCCACCAGCCCACCACTCCACACCGACACACACTGAGCTGACTGCGAGGTCCGAGTTATCCCGTCACTTGGTAGCCTTCCAAGCCAGGGCTTTCAGTACACCGTGGTAGCTTCAAACGCGTCAGATTGTTTATAGTAAGGAAAGTGCGCCAAGGCTTCCACCTCACTTTCTCTTCCCGCCCACAAGCACGGATCACTATCCGAGTCGTTCAGTCGTCTAGCGAGGGAAATGGGAGCATCGGCTGACATCTAGTGACCTAGTCTACACGTGCAACGTACACGACCCGACCCCCGATGTCGAGCACCAGGGTTTCACACAAAAGAGGGTGGGCGGCATGGAGCTCACACATGTGAGAGTGCCAAGATTCACGTTAGTAGGAGCCGTTGCAGCCTGACTCTCAGCCCAATTGTTAGCCACTCAACACACTAACTCCACTCATTAACTCCACACACTAACACACTCAACACACTGGCTTCCATATGTACACAAGGGGTAGGTCGTTCGAATCTCACACATAGTAGGGGAGTCGCACAGAGAAAAGAACCGGGAAACATAACATGAATAAACCGATCGATATTTGGACTTGAAGGATGAGAATACACGGGTATATACGCTTTTAGAATTAGAAGAAACAAAGCAATCACACGAATGCCGCCTGATGATAAATTGCTATTGAAAGTTCTACAGGTCGTAGTTTTGTCACAACAATACCCCCTCTCTTTGGAGAGTAAATTTCGAATGCGCCAAATGGGCGTGAATTAGACGCTGATTATGAATAATGTACAAGTTGGTAACGTTCAGGGAAACGGACATGACGACCACTGCGCATAAGGGGTGGATTAAGGGGTAGGGGAATGCACAGGGTTGGCTGGTGTAAGCGAGGGAGATCGGAGAAGACACTTTGGCAGGTGAAGAAGGCTGATCTTATGGGGTGGACGAAAGAGGGTCCGGTATAAGCCACATTCGACCGATGCTTGCCCTTGCGCGGCAGGACTCGAAATGGTCCATCGTAGGGCCATTGTAGTGGCTTAAGAGCACCATATACGCGGACAAATACAAAAGAACATGTTAAAACGTTGGAGTCAATATACAACTTACTTGCTTGAACGCGTGAAGGTATGGCCCGGAGATTAGCCATTGCTTGGCGTTGGCGCTGGACATAATCGGTAGTCTCCAGATCGGCTAAGCTTTAGGATGTCTCGAAGAAATCGCCAGGAATCCGTAGGGCGGTACCGTAAACAAGTTCGACAGTGGAACACTCCAAGTCGGGTTTTAGCACGATATCGATACCCAGCATGACAAAAGGGAGATGCCTGCTCCACTGAGTAGGGTTATGATAGGCCTGGAGCGAGGTTTTGAGTTGATGGTGGAAACGTTTAAGTAGACGGTTGAATAAGAGATGGTAAGCTGTCGTGCGTATGCAAGAACATCCAAGAAGTTCGGTAGGAGCACGAAAAGGTCTAGATTCAAACTGCTGGCCTCTATCGGTGTTAATAGGGTAAGGACAGGTTGTGTAGCCCTACCAGGCATAATATGTATAACCAACTACCATATTTCCTTTAGTAGGCTTTTATCAGTTCATCGCTACATGAAGTCACTCTTGGAGTTTTACCTAGCACACTGACATCACCGCATGCACCGATCTGTTTCAGTGTGATCTTCTTTAATGATAAATTGTTTGGCATGAGGTGACCTGCGGGTTTCGACCTCCCTCTGTAACCCATTTCTTCCAACAGGGTGGCAGTACCGTCTTTTTCATTTCGGTACTCACCGTATAACGGGTGCTGTAAGGATCGTCGGCTGCGTTCTGATTTACTTTGCCTCGTTGGAGCACAAACGCTCGGCTTCTAAGACATCCCTAGACGGCTTCTGTTGTCCAGCATGAACGCCGTAACTAATTTACTTAAAAAGGCTAGCTTAGTCTTCTTGTGCCATGCCGATACTCACCATACATCGCGTGTTGTAAGGGTTGTTGGCTGCGTTCTGGTTTGCTTTGCTTCGGTTGGAGCACAAGCACTCAGCTTCCTTGAAACCTCTAAACAATTACTTCCACAATAATACTTGCGCTTGGTCCCTCGCATAATCAATAACATGACAGTTAAATTCAGTTGAGTTTAAGTACAGAGACTTGCTTAAGAATGGTCTTTAAATTGCGTTCAGGAAAAAGCCCTCCAGGTTCTCTGTTTGGGAAGCTGTTGCACCGGCTATACTTTTGCAATATGCCATAGGCATATTTCCCAAGCTTGCTTCAGGCCGACGCTGTTTAGGCCAAACCGCAGACGAGAGCCCATATTGCTCGACTCGACACCGGAGCCCTTAGCGCCTTTCTCCTTCGATGGGCGAAAGAGGGTCGGCATAAACCACTTTTGACCGATTACGTGAGACCACTCCAGTGTGATCGCTACGGGCGATTTTGAAACTTTTTGCCCGTGCGCGACAAGGCTCGAGAGGGTCTGTTTTAAAGCCGCTTTAGTGGCTTATGAACAATATCTACATAAACAAATACAAAAGACATGTTAGAAGGTTAGGGTCGATATATGGCTTGCTCGAACGCGTGGAGGTGTGGCTCGGAGATTGGTCATTGATTGGCGTAAATGTTGGATATAATCGGTAGCATCCAGATTAGTTAAGTTTTGCGACTTCCCAGAAAAGCCGCTGGGAATCGTTAGGGTAGTCCCATAAACAAGTTGAGCAATGGAGCACTCCAAGTCGGGTTTTAACGCGGTGCGGATACCGAGCATGACCAGAGGAAGATGCTCGCTTCAATGATAGGGGTTGTCACAGGCCCGGAGCGAGGCTTTGAATTGACGGTGGGAACGCTCAATTAGACAGTTGGATGAGGGATGATAAGCTGTTGGGCGTATGCAGAAACATCCGAGGAGGTCGGTAAGGGCATTAAGAAGTCCTGATTAGGTAAGGATAGGTTGTGTAACCCCTCTTTGCAGCCGATTTCACACGCCTTGATTTATTAACCTTCTCGAAAATACTAGCTTAACCTTTTTGTGCCATGTCGGTACTCACCATACAATGCGTACTGTAAGGGTCGCTGGCTGCGTTTCGGCTTACCTTGTCCCGACTAGAACAAAGACGCTCGGCTTTCTCGAATCTCCAAACGGTTTCTCTTCCCGAGCGCTTACGCCGACTTATTTACTTCTTCAAGGCGACGAAGCCAGCCACCCGCATGTAATTACCTTCGCCGGGACCCACCTTCTTCCTTATGCAGAGTGGAATTGTGGTGTTTCACTCTCCCCCTCCCCTCCCCTTCACAAACCCGAGCTACAGCTTAATTATCTACCTGCCCGCATTATTTAATTCATGACTTTGATAGCCACATAAATGTACAGGCCTGAAGAGAATTTATCGAAAGCAGACGCAGGCTCACCAAATTGCCTTTTGAATCTTCGAGACTAGTTGTGCCTAGTCCCCCGTATAACCAATAATATGATCACCAAAATTACTTGAGTTTATGCACAAAAATTTACTTAAAAGTGGTTGTTAAATTGACTCAAGGAAGAAGTCATTCATGTATCTTGTTCGGAAAGCTGTTGTACCGGATGCGCTTTCGGCTTATGCGACAGGAACATTTCCCACGCTTGTCTTAGGCCAACCCTGTCTAAGCCAAAGCAGGAGCAATGCTGAATCTAGTGTACGTCGGCCGATATTACACGGCCCGACATCGACCCTCATTCCTGGAGCTACTGTTTCAGTCTTCTCCAATGGGCCTCAATCACACTGGTGCATTATTTGGTACGTGCTGTTGTTCATTCCTATTGGTCGTTACTTATACTGCTTCCTGACCTGCTTCAAATTTGCAAGTGGCGGTTTATTCAGGTGCGGGATCGAGCCCCAGATATTCGACACTTCGGGGTTGGGTACGACAGGCTGAAGACGGCTAATAAGCTAGAAATGGCCATTCTAGTCTCCATTGTCTTCGTCGGTAATACCTTTCTGTGTTCTATTTAGTGGAAGTTGGATTTGGTTATTTCTTAAATAACGCACTTAATTCCGCTGCTATATATAAGCGTAAGAGAAGAATTCCAATGAAAATCTCTTTGTTTTCCATGTTTCACTGCATTAATTTCTTTCCCTCGTGTGCAGTTATGCCCCACCCCTAAAACCCCTATTATCACCATTTCCTATCGCACGAGCCTGGAGTCACTGGTTTTGAGGTGCGTTTACACAACCTGCCGTTGCCCTGGACTCAAACAGCTGGCCTCGATCGGTGGTAATAGTTGTTGCGACAACATAATGGGAAATCCAGTGTTTCAAGAAGGCACGAGTGACAGTCTCTGCAGCGGCGTTTGGAATAGGAGTTGCGATGGGTCATCGCTTAAATCGGTAAACAGCGGTGAGCAAATAACTGAAACCACGGGATGTTGGTAAAGGACCCACGAGATCTACGTGCACATGCGCAAAACGTTCATCGGATGCAAGAAAAGTCCCAATTTAGGCTTTATTGTGACGTCAGATTTTGGCTTTCAGACGGGTCAAACATTGGTGAGTCCACTGGCGAATATTAGCTTTCATACTGTGCCAGACGAAACGGTCGTTGACGAGGCACTGAGTAGCCTGAATGCCAGGATGAGGAAGATTGTGTAACGCGGTGAATACATCTCGTCGCCTTTCGCTTGGTACTAAAGGGAGAGAGAAACCACGCGAAGCGTCGTAGAGAATCGTACTGGAGATGACGAACAGAGAGATGGCTTTAATCTGAAAGTTAGTATGCTCCAGTTGTTCAGAAAAAGTCGGCTGCTGCTATTGCAGCTCGGCCATGCGTTCCAAGTCGATGGAAGGGTTGACAATGGTCATCCGATTAGGGGGTCCTTTAGGAAACTGACTATCAGCGGCATATCGAGAAATAAAATCAAGATGGCGGGTGTGACGGCGTAGAAACCTGTGAGAGGGAGTGGAGGAGGAGTAAGTAAGAGGTTTATGATCAGTTTAAATACAAAAACTCTTCTTCCAACATAGCTATGAAAATCCGTAAGGGCGAGATAAACGGTAATGAGTTCCCCGCCAAAAGTGCTATAACTATCTGCGGGAGGCGTCAGTCTAGCAGTATAGAAGGTTTGGGGTTGGACTCCTGTTGGAGTCTGTTGCCGGAGGGCTGCACCTATGGAGCAACTGGAGGCGTCAGTAACACACAGGTCCCACAGTTGCCATGGTTCAAAGCCGCTAAGCCAACCACCCGCATGTAATTACCTTCGCCGGTACCCACCTCCCTGGCGCTGACTGGAATTGTGGTGTTTTACTCCCCCCCCTCCCCTCCCCAAACCCGAACTACAGCTTAATTATCTACTTGCCCGTATCTTTTAATTCGTTACTTAAATAGCCAAATAAATGTACAGGCCTGAAGAGAATTTATCGAAAGCAGACGTGTGCTCGCCAAATTGCCTAATGAATTTTACAATGGGAATTTTCGCAACTCTAAAACGTTAAAAAGTTAGGGCGGAATCACGAAGTCCAAAGGGCATCCCGAAGAACTTGAAAATACCTGGTAGAGTCGTAATCGCCGTGATAGGTCGTCTTCTGGAGCAAGAGGCATTTGGTGGATGCTTTTTACTAGGCCAGTGCCGGAAAATATTGTTGTATCGGCTAGGTTACAGTAAAAATCGTGGAGATGGGGAAGTGTGTATCTGTATGGAATAGCGCAGTTGTTTAAGCGTCGGTAATCATCACATGGACGCCAGTCTGTGAGGGAATTTTTGCTAATCGTATGCAAAGGGCGGCCCATGGACCAATGAAGGGCTGTACTGTGCCAGTTTCCATCGTATGGCTGGATTCAGCCTTAGCGATAGCCGATTTGTTAGCTGCTAAAAGAAAAGGACGGCTAAAAACGGATGACGCAGTGGTCGAAATATAACGTATGACAACTGTTTAGTAGGCTGGTCAAACTGTGAAGACGGAGTAACGGATAGAAATTCCGAGAGAAAATGACAGTAGGGAGTAGACGAAGGGATTGTTGAAGTTCATAGACTAGGGGAAGAAATGGTACGAGTTGAACAATTAGAATGCAGGGCTTTCATCGGGCCCATAAGCTTACGAGGACTGATACCAACGAGAAGACCGAAGAACGATATAAAATCGGCACCGAGAATGGCGATATGAACGTAAACAATAGCAAATATCTGGCGAAAAGTACGTCGTAACCCAAGGTCTACAGTTAGGAATCGTTGACCAAATGTTTTAATGGGGGTGCCATTAGCTGTCTGAAGAAAGCATGCAGAGCTTGGTGACTTACGGTCAGTCGCAGAGAGTGGAATTAGACCGATGTCAGCCCCAATGCCCAGGAAGAAATTGTGGCAGGAACTCTTGTCGAAAGTTTGGAGCGGCTAACTTGGAAAGGTTGGACTGACCTATTCCGTCTCCGCCATTGGCCGGTAGGTGAGTTTTTACCGGAGATTTCTCATGACGACATGAAGATTGGCAGTGATGGGCATTTAACCCAGAGGTGTGGCGATGTCAGCAGAAACCTTGGGAATGGCTGGGCCTGACAATGCAGTGGGAGATCTCTGACTTTGTGCATTGGAAGGACTTCAACGGCGACAGACACGAGAAACATGAAGCTGGGAAACTTAAATGGTGAGGACATCTAGAAGTTTCATGACATTCTCGATTGTAGGCGATGCTGCGCAGCTGTGATGCCACTAGCAACTCTGACTATATCAGCAAGCTAGGAGTACTTGAGGATGCGGTTAGCAGTCTCCGTGAGCATCTGGAAAGACGAGGAAGGAATGCTAGGCTCAAGGACAGCTTTCACAGAAGAGGGCAGTTTTTGGAGGAAACGTCGCTTGAACATGATGGCGTCAAGACTTCGTCCCCCGGCCAGCTGCCCCAAACGCCTAAGAAGCTGCGTGGGCATCTTGTCCCCAAAGTTCTCCTCGGAAAGCAGACGCTTTTGCGTTGATAGGGAAATGCGGGTCATGAAAGCCTTCTTCAGAACAGTATATGGAACTTCTGTGGGCGGATGATCTGTAATAACGCGAAGGTCCGTGGCGATATCCATTGAAAATGCTGTCACAACGTCATGAAATTCCGTATCTTCCCTTGTAACCTAGAAGAGGGCAAAACAGGATTCTACAACACACAGCCATAACGCGAAGTCACTAAGCCACACGTTTGGAAGGTCAAAAGTGTGAATGCCGGCTATCAGCTGGCTGGTAGAATCGCTGGACATGATTAATCTACGTAGGTCAGAGGCCATTTAACTGCGGTAGATGACTGATGCGTTGACACTGAGAGTGAAAGGTAGCAGCCGTACTGGTCGAATAGGTGAGAGGGAGTGGATGGCAAAGGAGGTCCGGCTAAAATAACGTAATCAATGAAAGGTAGGGCGGGGATAAATCTAAATGGAAATAGTCGACCATAGAAACGAAACAGAAGGCGCATGAACGATACAGAGCCACCAATGTCATGAATAAACTGGTCTATGCTTAAATTCAAAGGATAAATACGTACGGGTATAAACATCACTAGGATGGGAGGAGACGAAGTAACCACGAGGGTGCAGCTTTATGGTAAACTGTGATTGAGAGTTGGGCCTAAGGTTTACGGATCGTACTTTTGGCACACAAAAACAAAACGCTTTTTCATGTCACTACAAGCACACTTCCCACTTGCGTGCGAGCTGCCGGTGGTGTGGGATGTTCAAGATATTCACATGTGATGCACGTGTTGATGTGGGAATGCGTGATGATGCGGTCATGCTTGTGATGATTTACCATAGGTTTTCATGAATACGAATGTGACTGAACAGTTTGATGCGATGGTTGAATGTGCAAGAGCAGTGCGACTGTTGAGGCGATGACGTCTGGCGTATGTTGGCGCTCCAGGCACTGGTCCACCAGTCTCTGTCGGATGGATTTTCAAGTGACCGACCAGGCCAGTATGTGAGGCAAATGTTCGTTTACAATGAGGACAGGTTGGAACCAAGACAACATCGCTGGAGTGGAGGATGGTAACGGCAAGGGTGGTGATTGAGGTGGCTTCGATGGTGTTTCTGTCTCTTGTAGTCGTCGACGTCGCTTAGTTGTCGGCGGAGATTATGGAGGCAGTGACGACTCACAGCGGCGGCTACGGAGATTTGGAGCAGCACCGTCGAAGTCGATCATCCTCGTGTAAGCTGTGGGATTGAAGCAAGGACTTCGTAGAGGCAGCATTTGGGGTTGTCTGGCGGTTGTTGAACTGGGTTTGAGGATGTTCAACGAGGGCGATCCGCGCGCGGTATGTCGTTACGGGTTGAAGGTTGATTTTGTGGATCAGGGACGCCGGAGACTTGCGAGCTTCCCTTGTGACTTTGACGACGGCGATCGGGTTGGTTTCATGGATGGCCGCCCCAGTCCTCGCTACTTCTCTTCAGTACTGCCGGTTCTATGCGGCGTCATCCATAGACTTCGGTTTGATTTGTAATTGCTGTAGGATGCCGTCGACGTGGATGCGGGAAACGTCGTATGCAGCGTTTGGTGGTGGTTACTGCATGACATTCGTTTTGTCCGTATTGGTGACCAGTCTGAATTCGGCGCAGTCAGGATCCAGAGGTCCAAACCGCGATGCATTTCAGCTTCTGACACGATGTTGAGCGCGCAGTCGTCGACCAAAAACAGACCGTGGATAGCAGCCGTGGAGAGACGCGGTCATGTGGCAATGCGGATGCTGGGGCGTTCATGACGGTGAGCAACCATCAGCATGGAACCAAACATGAGACTGAGGAATGTGGGGGCGAGCACGCGGTCCTTTTTCATTCCATTGGTTACTGAAAATCCTTCTGAGACAGTCCTCTTTTCCGTGAGTGTGTATACATATGACAGTTCGACCCTCGTTCCCGACGATGTCTGCCGTGTGCACTCTATCAAGGTGAGAGCAGTCACGGTGACCTGTACGTAAATTGGTTTATAATGGTAGTAGACTTGCACGTCATCTACCGCACTCCCTCCTCCTCCCCCAACTGAACGCGGTGTCAAGACATAGTCAAGCAGACCGAAGGCGAGAGAGGACGCAGGTGGCTGGCATGGCCGGACCCTCACCTAGGCGTGCAACCATATCCCCTGGTTCACAACAAACACTTGACCAGGATTTCAACCAACAACAAAAAGGGGTCAGAAGGAGAAGGATGACACAAGTCACTGGGCAATCGGACACAGGTCTGCATACCCAGCGGGAATGCAAGCGCATTCACCGGGAGGGAATCAGGTACCAGCGAATTGCCAGCGCACTTGAAGCTGCGAGGACCATGGTATTCTGAAACTCCACCTATCAAACGCCCACAAGGTTGAGACGCAGCCCTGCATTTAGCCTGGGGCATTACTCTTCGAAAGCCCGGTAACCAGTCAGTCATCGACCAAAAGGCATTACCCTTACAGACGCACACTCTTCACATGCGTGATAGTGCCAGAGGTCACGTTAAGAAGAAGCCTTTACAGCCTGACTCCCGGTCCATCAGTCTGCCACTCCACGCAAACACACAAGTGGGCAGACTACGCGGACTGCGTTGAGGCGTCAGCGGGCGGCGTTCCAAGCCACGGTGCTTGGTGCACCGTGAATGTCTCAGACTCGGATCACACAAGCTACAGACGAGCCACACGGAGAGGTAGTCGAGAAGCCCATTCCCCTCTTCAGTGAGAGGCGTCATTCAATTTCTTTCTTTGCGTGGCGATGGACGATCTTGATGCATGATGCAGGTGCTGGTGAGGGAAGGTATCGTGATGTGGGATAGTCGGCGGTTGTCTGCTGCAGGTTCTCGTGAGTGAGCATGCGACTCAAGAGGTCCATGCGGTGGCTGAATGTGCGGAGGCGGTGAGACCAGTTGAGGTGGATGCGACGAGTGTATGTGGGTGCTCCGAGCACCGGCTCGTCAGTCTCAGTGCGATGGATTTGCAAGTGACCAACTAGGTCGATGTGTAAGGTGACTGTGCGAGGGCACTGTGGGTAGGAGTGCTGGGGATCGTC